AGCCACATTCCCAGCTCCCTATTTGACTTGTTTAGAGGAGTAGAACTATAACACTTAATGGTTCATTATGGGTTAACTTTTAAAGTGCCTTGCAATCTTTTGCATTTATAGGTAAGCTAGGATGACTTTTACCACAAGAAGAAAAGTCTATTAATTTTTTTTTTTTCTTGTTTTTTGGTCGGTCATGGGGCTTGAACTCTGGGTGGGCCTGGGCACTGTCCCTGAGCTCTTCAACTCAAGGCCAGCGCGCTACCACTTGAGCCACAGCACCACTTCCAGTTTTCTGGTGGTTTATTGGAGGTAAGAGTCTCAAGGAGTTTCCTGCTTGGGCTGGCTTTGAACCACGATCCTCGGATCTCAGCCTCCTGAGTAGCTAGGATTACAGGCATGAGCCACCGGCACCTGGCAAATTTTCCATTAACTTTTCTTAGTATGTATATATATATATATATATATATATATATATATATGTTCTGTTTTGTAACCTAAGAAGGAATTTTAATAGCTTTTTTTTTTTTTTTTGGTTGGTCGTGGTGGCTGAACTCTGGGCCTGGGCGCTGTCCCTCAGCTCTTCAGCTCAAGGCTAGCGCTCTACCACTTGAGCCACAGCGCCACTTGGGCTTTTTTCTGCTTATGTAGTGCTGAGGAATTGAGCCCAGGGCCCATGCATGAGAGGCAAGCACTCCACCACTGAGCCACCTTCCTAACTCTAATTGCTTTGCAAGTATAGAGTCTATGCAGGAGAAAGCGTACGTGAAAAATATATACTCCAGAGTTTAGGAAAGCAGATTTCCTTTATTCAAAGATTTCAAAGAGATCCTAGGAAATTGGGTGTGAGCTATGGTCAGAGATGTAAAAGGAAGAGAATAGCTTAGGAGGGACAAGATGCTTTCTTGATGTAGTGTTTTACAACCATAATTCCAGCTACTTATAGGGTAGATATTGGGAAGATGATGGTTCCAAGCCAGCCCTGGCGAAGAAGTTAGTAAGACCCCATAATAATGAACCAAGCTGGGCATGATGGTGCATACTTTGTGATCCAGCAAGAAGGAGGGTGTAGGTCGGAGGATTGCAGTTGGAGGCTATCCTGGGGGGTGAGGTGGGGGAAGGACTCTACTGAAAAATAGCCTAAAGCAAAGGGGGTTGGAGGTATGGCTCAAGTGGCATAGTGCTTTGCAATCACAAGGCCCTGAACTCTTAACCTCCCTTGAAAATTAAGAAAAATTCTCATAGCATGTTTATACATTATCTCAAGAGGAAAAAAATAAAAGTGAGTAAGAGAAGGGACTATAAGAATAATAGAGGGGGTAAGTAAAAAAATTATGTTTATAAACAGGACAAGGCTGGCAGCTATAACAAAACATAGGATGAAAATAGTATTACATCAAAACTAGCAAGTTGAAACTCAATTGGGATAAAAGTAAAACCTTAACAACTATAGGACCGGATGCCTTCTATGATATTATCTACAGGTTTTAATTGTTTACAGCCTCATCATGTTATAATTCCAAAAAAGGAATATGCTCATTTAAAGCATGTTTAGTGCCCAGGGCAAAGAGGTCATAAATATTCACACTTCTCTGCTCAGAAGCATACTGTGCATGTTCCTAAAGAGGATAATCAATCCGGGCACCGGTTGCTCACTCTTGTAATCCTAGCTTCTCAGAAAGCTGAGATCTAAGGATAGTGGTTCAAAGCCAGCAGGGGCAGGAAAGTCCGTATCTCCAATAAAGTACTCAAAAAAGCCAGAAGTGGCCCTGTGGCTTAAGTGGTAGAGTGCTCACCTTGAACAAAAAAAGCTCAGGGACAGTGCCTAGGCCCAGAGTTCAAGCCCCAGGACCGACTGGGAAAAAAAAAAAGGATAATCAACATGGAAAGTAATATAGATACTGTGCCTAATTTGGCCCAGTAGAGTTGGTCAAATTTCTTCCTTTCATTTTATCATGAGAATAGAGATTAATGAGAGACAAAATGGATATCTTCATGAAAGACTCCTAGATGAAAGAACAGAGTGAATTCCAATGAATTATTTCAGGTAGCCTAGGGTAAAAGTTACAGGAAGGCAGTTTTTGGGTTAGAAGTTGTCCAAGAAGTGTTCAGATAGACTCCTGTAGCTAATACCAGATGTGTATAAATTGTATAAATGGAATGTCCTATGAAATAAGCAGTTGCAGTACAGTTTGGTTGTTGCTTGTTTTTAAGCTTTATGAGTTTGTCAAATAGAGTTGCAAGAAGATTTTATAATAACAGAGATGTTTTCTGCCTATGGAAATTTGTAGAGCCAACAGATTTTGTTGCCATTTAACAAAAAATTAAAAATAAGCGTTTCAGGGCTTCTGAAAGTCCCGTAGATGTCTGGCATTTGTCTTGAGGGAGGATAAGCTGTGGTTTGAACATGAGGAATCTGCTATTACTTAAGTTCCTGTTTCAAAATGATGTTTCCCATACAGGCATCATGTCCCCGGATGATCTTAGTCAGAGTTGTGAACGTGTCTTTTAGTCTCCATGGGGATATGGGAAATGTCTGGAATGCTTGGGAATTTTAATGCTGTAAGAATTTGTTTTTACAGAACAACCAATTATGAAAGTCTTAATTCCAAATGTTGGGGGGAATGCCTTTTTATGGTTACTGATAGAAAAAATATTTTATTCCTCTTGCAAATGGAAGAAGAAAACAGTGCAAACAACCAAACAAAAATTTAAAAGTCAAACCTATTCTAGTCACCACTAATAGTTACTTTAATGATTTTTTTTTTTTTGGTCATGGGGCTTGAACTCTGGGCCTGAGCACTGTCCCTCACCTCTTCAGCTCAAAGCTACTGCTTTACCACTTGAGCTATAGCGCCACTTCTGGTTTTCTGGTGGTTTATTGGAGATAAAGTTTCACGGACTTTCCTGCCTGGGCTGGCTTTGAACCCAGATCCTCAGATCTCAGCCTCCTGAGTAGCTAGGATTACAGGCGTGAGCCACTGGTGCCCGGCGAATATTGTATTTGTGTACCTAGTGAAGTATATATTGTGTAATTTTTTTTTAACCTGGGGACAAAAAAGAGAAACTTTAATTGAAATATATTTCCTGAGTGTGACAATAATGGGAACAATTTTAAGAAAGAATTTAAATTTTACTGTATCTCCTGTAAGAATACTATAAACAAAGCTATGCAGGGTTTTATGTCAAAATTTGGTTTTGTCTCTCCTTGCAAGAAGCACATAGCATTTCATGATTTCTAAGGGCTTGTATTGTGTGTCTGTGCTAGGTCTGTGGCAGTTCAGAGGCTTGATAAAGTTTAATTCCTTGAAGCTTCCAATGTGCCTGAAGAAGCTAGATAGGCACTTTTTTGGCGGGGAGGGAGGGAAGGAGCTAGTCCTGGGGCTTGAATTCAAGGCCTGGGCACTGTCCCTGAACTTCTTTTTGACTTGAGCCAGCACCACTTCTGGCTTTTTCTGTTTTTGTGGTACTGAGGAATTGAACCCAGGGCTTCATGTGTGCCAGGCAAGTACTCTACTACTAAGCCACATTCCCAGCCCAGATACGCACTTTTTTTGTGTGTGTGTGTCGGTTGTGGGGCTTGAACTCTGGGCCTGAGTGCTGTCCCTCAGCTCTTCAGCTCAAGGCTAGCGCTCTACCACTTCAGCTACAGCGCCACTTCTGGTTTCCTGGTGGTTTATTGGAGATAGGAGTCTCACAGTCTTTCCTGCCCAGGCTGGCTTTGAACCTTGATCCTCAGATCTCAGCTTCCTGAGTAGCTAGGATTACAGGCTTGAGCCACCAGCGCCCGGCTAGATACGCACTTTTAAAAGTAATCAAACCACAATCAGTACTCAAGGCCCTGGGTTCAATCCCCAGCATCACACACACACACAGAGAGTAAAAAAACTAATTAAAACAATAAAGGTAACTGATGATATTAGGCAATGTTTTGAGTACAATTAATAGCTTCTTTGTTAAGTGATGTACTGGAATTAACTGGGGAGAGAAATCTTGGGCCTATAGGTGAAGTATTCTCTTATGTGGGCCTTGTGTATAAAGGGTAAAGGGATAGAGAGCAAGTTGTTAGACTCATGGAGAGGGTACTTGGAGACGTTAGTACTCCACATATTCTGTCCAAGTGGATCAGAAGAATAGGGCAGTGTTTTAAAATAGCAGTTCTTCATGATAAGGCAAATAATGGCTGAGAGGCAACTTTAAGAATATTTAGTACTATTTAAGAGCTTAATCAGTTTTTACTTATGAGGCTTCATTTGGAGGAAACTGATTATAGAGAAGGCAAAGCCTTTTTTAACTGCTAGTGCAAAATTGAACAAATCAGAAAGGGTAAATTTACAAGCCTTGTGTGTTTATATACGGCTAAGTAGGATAAGCAACTGAGCTCTAGGAGTTAGGGTACCTAGCTGTTTTGTTTTTGTTTTGATTCGTGGTTTTGTGGTACTGGAGTTAGAACCTAGTACCTCGCACATACTAAACATGTACTCTACTTCCAAGGAACACCCTCAGCAAAATCTGTAGAAATTCTGGAGGTATACATAACTTAGTTTTTTTAAAAATAAAAATAAGACTGTATTAAGGCTTACTTTTTCAACGTAACAATATTTTATGGCATTTGACTGTACAGAATGGTGTGTTCTATAGCAAATTTACTTTGCTTTTTTATTGGTGAAAAATAAAGTATGTTGCTGATCACCTTGAAGGTGCAGAATTATGCCATTACTTGTGCTTTTAGACGGTTTTGTTTGTTTGTTTTTGTTGGTTGTGGGGCTTGAACCCTAGGCCTGGGTGCTGTTCCTGAGCTTTTCAGCTTAAGGCTAGTGCTCTACCACTTGAGCCACAGTGCCACTTCTGGCCTTTGCTGGTTATGTGGTCCTGAGGAATGGAACCCAGGGCCTCATGCATGCAAGGCAAGCACTCTACCACTCAGCCACCTTCCCAGCCCCTTGTGCCTCTAAATATTATGAGGGAACTACTGGAAAAAAAGTCTTAATTGCTTTCTTCTTTTCTTACAGCAGTGGGATCAACAAGTTGATTTTTATACTGCTTTCCTGCATCATTTAGCACAATTGGTGCCAGAAATTTATTTTGCTGAAATGGACCCAGACTTGGAAAAGCAAGAAGAGAATGTGCAAATGTCAATATTCACTCCACTAGAATGGTACTTATTTGGAGAGGATCCAGATATTTGTTTAGAGAAATTAAAGCATAGTGGCGCATTCCAACTCTGTGGGAAGGTTTTCAAAAGTGGAGAGACAACATATTCTTGTAGGTAAGCATTAGACATTTATAGGATTGGGTATAATTACAATCCTGGTATTTCATAGAGTAGCTCTTTCTCTATTATTATTTATAATAGATTTAATCCTACTTACTTAACCTCATATCCTGTACACACTTCAAGTATATTTTTTGCTGAAAAAGCTTGGTTTTGAATATATGACTTTCAGTTAAGCAATATTTCATTTTTCCTTACTATTCTTCAGAAGTATTTAAATGACAGATTTTTGCTTTGTGTGTAAAAAATACAGTCATATTATTTAAAACCTTTGGAGCCAGGTGCCTGTGGCTCCTGCCTATAAACCTAGCTACTACCCAGCAGGCTGCGATCTGAGGATCCCAGTTTGGAGCCAGCTAGAACAGACAAATCAGAGAGACTCTTATCTGACCCCAAGTAATTATCTGCTCTGCTAAAAATGTCAGCAGTGTTGAGCTTGAGACAACTTGCTGGAAATAGAGTAGTAGGCCATTCATATTTTATAGGATATTATTAGGAATCTTTATGTCCTGGTAGGCTTTTAATTTTTTTTGGCTATTTATTTATTTATTGTCTGTTCTGGGGCTTGAACTTTAGGCCTGGGCACTGTCCCTCAGCTCTTCAGCTGAAGGAGAGCGCTCTACCACTTGAGCTGCAGTGCCACTTCCGGTATCCTGGTGGTTAATTGCAGATAAGAGTCTCATGGACTTTCCTGCCCTGGCTGGCTTTGAACCATGGTCCTCAGATCTCAGCCTCCTAAGTAGCTAGGATTCCAGGCATGAGCCACTGGCGCCTGGCTTGGTTGTTTGTTAGTGCTAGGGATTACACCCAGGGCCTGGTAATTGTTAGACAGGCTTTTTTTTGGGGGGGTTGGTCGTGGGGCTTGAACTCTGGGCCTGGGCGCTGTCCCTCAGCTCTTCAGCTCAAGGTGAGCGCTCTACCACTTGAGCTACAGCGCCACTTCCGGTTTTCTGGTGGTTTATTGGAGATAGGAGTCTCACGGTCTCTCCTGCCCGGGCTGGCTTTGAACCGCGATCCTCAGATCTCAGCCTCCTGAGGAGCTAGGATTACAGGCGTGAGCCACCAGCGCCCGGCTTAGACAGGCATTTTTTAATCACTGACTTTCACCTCCTCCTCCAAACTTCATTTTTAGAACTTCCTGATTTCATTTCTTCACTCCTTAAAAATATTTTATTTTAAAATTAAATATTAACATTGATCAAGATACATTGTACCTATAACTGATTTGTTGAATTGAAACCCCTTTTTATAGCTACATAAAGATTTAATTTTTTTAATTAAAGAATTTAATCTACTTTGCACTAATTTGTATTGTTTTTAAATTTAAATTTATTTTTTTTTTTTTTTGAGTCGGTTGTGGGGCTTGAACTCTGGGTCTGGGTGCTTTCCCTCAACTCTTCAGCTAAGGTGAGCGTTCTACCACTTGAGCCACAGCGCCACTTCTGGCTTTTTCTATGTATGTGGTGCTGGGGAATCGAACCCAGGGCCTCATGCATGCAAGGCAAGCGCTCTACCACTGAGCCACCTTCCTAGCCCCTGTTTTTAGTGTTTCTCTGAAAATATTAAATAAAACGTTGTATGAGTTATACCAAGCACTATTGTAGGTGTTCAGGACATATTAATGTGTAAAATAAATATTGCTTCCCCTTTACTACTTGTATTCCAGTGAATTTTGTCTTTTCCCAATAGTATATGATCACTGTTTGTAAAATATACTTATAAATGTCAATAGAGTAAAGTGATGACCAATAATGGAAAAAGGATCATTTTCATGAAATTAATTTTCAGTTGTAACTTAACAGTTTGAAGCCAGGTGAAAGGTCAGCTTTATAAAGATAACTTAAACAAAGTGAACTTCTGTATAGCTACACTCAAATGTGGCTAAAATTATGTTGGTAATTATCTCATCTTTGTTTAAAACATTAGGATAATGCTTTTTTGTTGTTGTTGTTGTTGTTGTTGGTCATGTGGCTTGAACTCAAGGATTTGGCACTGTCCCTGAGCTCTGTCACTCAAGGCTAGTGCTCTACCACTTGAGTCACTGCGCCACTTCTGGTTTTCTAGTAGTTAGTTGGAGATAAGAGTGTCATGGACTTTCCTGCCCAGGCTGGCTTTGAACCATGTTCCTCAGATCTCAGCCTGCTGAGTAGCTAGGATTACAGGTGTGAGCCACTAGCACTGGGCTAGGATGTTTTTTGTTGTTGTTGTTGTTGCATTTTCATACTGTACTCCATACAGGAAACTCATTCACATTATAGTCACACATCAAGCCATCAGCAGGAGTCATCTTAAGTTTTTAGAATCTAATTTTTGATCTTTTTCAGGGACTGTGCAATTGATCCAACATGTGTACTGTGTATGGACTGCTTCCAGAATAGTGTTCATAAAAATCATCGATACAAGGTATGAAAGTAGATCCATTAAAAATAGCTGGAATAGCAAGCGTTGTGTAGCCATCTAATCCAAATTCTTAACTGGTGCTTGAATTCCTGTTACATAGTTCTGATAGGTGGATTGCAGACCTCTACTTAAATATATGTAGCCAGCAATAGTGCCTTACACTTAAAATTCTAGCGACTCAGGAGATCTGCAGATAACAGATCAAAGCCACCCCTAGCAGAAAATCAACCAGAAAAATTAACCAGCAAAAGCTGGACTAGAGACGTAGCTCGAGAGCATGCCCGTCATGAGTGCAAAAGCTGACTGAACGTGTAGCCATTACTGATGGAGTAAGACTGAATTAATAGAAGCTTTCTAAAAAATAAATATGATAATGAACAATTCAGATGAGAAGTCACATTGGGTGCTTCAAAAGTATCAAACATTCTCTCAGGATGGGTGCTTATTATGTTGTTGGACTTTGCGACTTTTCTCTATATTGTGCATATTTTTTTGTGTATATATATATGTGTGTGTGTATATATATGTGTGTATATATATATTGTGTGTGTGTGTGCATATATATATATATATATATGTATATATATATATGCACACACACACACACACACACACACACACACTTTTTTTTTTTTTTTTTTTTTGCCAGTCCTGGTGCTTGAACTCAGGGCCTGGGCGCTGTCCCTGAGCTTCTTTTGCTCAAGGCTAGAGCTCTACCACTTGAGCCACAGCGCCACTTCTGGCTTTTTCTGCTTATGTGGTGCTGAGGAATCGAACCCAGGGCCTCATGCATGCAAGGCAAGCATTCTACCACTGAGCCACCTTCCCAGCCCTGTATATATTTTTACTTGTAAAAATACTGTACAGAGGGGTTACAGTTACGTTAGTAAGGTAATGAGTACATTTCCTATCAAGCGTTTTCACCTCCTCCTTTGTTTTTCCCCACCATCCCTTCCCTCCCTGTGTATATTCTTTAGAATACTAACAAAACACTTTATGAATGAAAAAAAATGAATCCATTAAAATTTGGGGAAAAAAATGGAAGAAGGGTGGGGTGATAGGAGTAATTCAGGGGGAAGACTCAAGATCACTATCATGATATAACTTGATTGAATACAACCAAAATTCTGGCTGAGTGCATTTTAACTAGGATCTTTCTGCTTTTATTTTTAATTTTTAATTTTTATTTTTGTTAGTTGTGAGGCTTGAATTCAGGGCCTGGGCATTGTCACTGAGCTTTTTTGCTCAAAGCTGGCACTCTACCACTTTTGTGCCACTGCTCTACTTCCCAGTTTTTTGACGGTTAATTGAAGGTAAGAGTCTCATGAACTTTACTCCGCAAGCTGACTTTGAACCATGATTTTTTTTAGATATCGGCCTCTTGAGAAGCTAGGACCATAGGCATGAGCTATCTGCGGCTGGCCCACCAATATCTCATTAAGTCTTAGATACTTTTCCTGTGTCTGTCATAGTTTCTAGGGCATAGATGTTTTCAGTAAACATTTGTTGAAGTGTTAGGACCAAAAGGGCAAAGCTGATGGTTAAGATTTAATTCTAAAAACAACTATTATGGGCTGGGAAGATGGCTCAGTGGTAGAGTGCTTGCCTTGCATGCATGAGGCCCTGGGTTCAATTCCTCAGCACCACATAAGCAAAAAGAAAAAAGCCGGAAGTGGCCCTGGGCTCAAGTGGTAGAGCGCTAGCCTTGAGCTGAAGAGCTGAGGGACAGTGCCCAGGCCCAGAGTTCAGGCCCCACGACCGGACCCCCCCCCCCCTAAAAAAAAAAGAATAAAAACAACTATTAGGGACATATTTTAGCATCAGCCTGCTTTTATATATATTTTATTATCCTAAGGGATGCAATTCTGTGTGTTTATCGTCTTTCCAGTAGGGTTGCTTTAACAATTATTGGGTTGAGGAAGTGGTACTGTGGCTCAAAGTGGTAAAGCACTAGCCTTGAGTGAAGGAACTCAGAGACAATGCCCAGGCCTGAGTTCAAGCCCCATAATGGACCAGAAAGAAAAAGAAATGTATGAACCAGGCACTGGTGGCTCACACCTGTAATCCTAGCTCCTCAGAAGCCTCAAATCTGAGGATTGGGGTCCAAAGCCAGCCTGGGCAGGAAAGTCCATGAAACTCTTTTTTTTTTTTTTCCTTTTGGTTGGTGGTGGGGTTTGAGCTCTGGGCCTGAGCCCTGTCCCTCAGCTCTTCAGCTCAAGGCTAGCGCTCTACCATTTGAGCTACAGCGCCACTTCCAGTTTTCTGGTGGTTTATTGGAGATAAGAGTTTCACGGTCTTTCCTGCCCAGGCTGGGTTTGAACCGAGATCCTGAGATCTCAGTCTCCTGAGTAGTTAGGATTACAGACGTGAGCCACTGGTGGCCGGCTCCATGAGACTCTTTTTATCTCCAATTAACCACTAGAAAACTGGAAGTGGCTCTGTGGCTCAAGTGGTAGAGTGCTCTCCTTGAGCTGAAGAGCTTAGGGACAGTGCACAGGCCTAGAGTCCAAGCCCCACAACTGACAAAAAAAAAAAAAAAGAAATGTACTCATAAAAATATATATATAAATTTATGGGCTGGGAGGTGGCTTAGAGGTAGAGTGCTTGCCTTGCATGCCTGAGGTCCTGGGTTCAGTTCTTCAGCACCACATAAGCAGAAAAAGCTGGAAGTGGCGCTGTGGCTCAAGTGGTAGAGCGCTGGCCTTGAGCTGAAGATCTGAGGGACAGCGCCCAGGCCCAGAGTTCAGGCCCCTTGACCAGCGCGTACTCGCGCACGCGTGCGCGCGCACACACACACACACACACTATATATGTACACACACACACATACACTATATATATATATACACACACACACACACACACACACACACATAATGTACGATATATATAAACTTATATATAAATATATAACATTCACACACACACAATATATATATATATATACACACACACACACACACATAATGTACGATATATATAAACTTATAAATATATAACATTCACACACACACACACACACACGGTTGAGGTTGTTTAGTGGTAGAGCATTTGCCTGGCATGTACAAGGCTAAATACATAAATAAGTAAAGAATTACTAGATATTAAACTGGAGACTACCTTTTGAAGATTTAGGGAATGAAGAAAAATATAAATAAGAATTACAGTTTCTTTTTTGTTGTTGTTAGTTGTGGGGCTTGAACTCTGGGCGTGGGCTCTGTCCCTGAGCTCTTTTTCTCAAGGATAGTACCTTAGCATTTTGAGCCCACAGCCCCACTTCTAGTTTTATGATGGTTAATTGGAGATAAAAGTCTTCAAGACTCTTATTGCCTATGCTGGCTTTGAACCAAAATCCTCATATATCAGCCTCTTGATTGGCTGGAATTACAAGTGTGAGGTACCAGCACCGGCTTTTTCTTTTCTTTTTAGTCTCTTCTCTTTTGATTCTGGAGATCGAACCCAGGGTGTTGCACTTTCTAGGCAAGCAACCTTGCTACTGAACTACATCCCCAAAACAGCAACTGCAGGGCTGGGAATGTATAGTAGAGCACACAGACCTAAGCATAGTAAAGATCTGTTAACTGTTAACAATGTCACTTCAGGGTTCTTTTCTTGAATTGCTTACCAATTTATATTCCCATTAGAAGAATTTGGGGATGTTCTTTTCATGTTTTTGTTTTTTGTGGTTCTTAAGTTTGAACTCAGGGCCTCAGTCTTGCTAGATGGATGCTCTACTATTTGAGCCACACCCCCAGACCTATGGGAACCTGGTTACATTTGTTCCCACACTTAATTTGTCTTTTTAACTCTTATTCTTTCAATTTACATTTCTATTCAATTTATCCACAGCTTAATTATATGTTTAATTTATTCTTTAGTGATGTACTGGGATTTGAACTCAGAACCTCAAGCTTGCTTGGCTTTGCTTGCTCAGACTTGATGCCTGTCTCTTGGAATTTTTGTCCTGGCTGACTTCAAACTACTATCTTCTAGATCTCAGCCCTCCCGAATAGCTAGTATTACAGGGTATATGTTTTAGGCAACTGATTAAAATGGTTTTTGTTACATCTAGTTTCTATTACATTAAAGAAATTATTTCTTCAATGATATGAGATTTCATAAAAACACAATGAAAGTTGAATTATTAGTGAGAACTTATTTGAGTCATCTTTATTATTCCTCCTTGATTTATAATATATTTTGGTATTATAACAAACCCATTTTTCATTTGTCAGATGCATACTTCTACTGGAGGAGGGTTTTGTGACTGTGGAGACACAGAGGCGTGGAAAACTGGCCCTTTTTGCTTAAGTCATGAGCCTGGAAGAGCAAGTATTACAAAAGAGGTAGGAATGCTTAAACTTACTGAAATTAGATAAGATTAAACAGTTATGATTTCTTTTTAGAATTCTAGTATTTTGTTCCAATATTTAAATGTAAGTAAGCTTTTTTTCTACTCCAAAGAATATAAAGATTTGGTAAGTTCTCTCTAAAGAGGGAATGAATTCACAAAAACTAAATTCAGGATACTTGTTAAGCAATCAAATGAATCGAATAATAAATACACTGTTTATTCTTCTTGATAAGAATATGTATAAGCCTGAAACAACAAAGAGAAGCAATAAGTATATGAATATATAAATAAAGTAGGTTAAATTGATATCTTTTACTTGCAGAAAACTTGAGGATTACGGGCAGACATTACCACACTGGGCAAAGTGATTTTTTTTTTTTTGTCGGTCGTGGGGCTTGAACTCTGGGCCTGGGCGTTGTCCCTAAGCTCTTCAGCTCAAGGCGAGCGCTCTACCACTTGAGCTACAGCGCCACTTCCGGTTTTTTCTGGTAGTTTATTGGAGATAGGAGTCTCACTGTCTCTCCTGCCCGGGCTGGCTTTGAACCGCGATCCTCAGATCTCAGCCTCCTGAGTAGCTAGGATTACAGGCGTGAGCCACCAGCGCCCGGCAAGTGATTATTTTGAATAGATAACATTGTCTTCCTTCATTCATACAGTGAGGCTAAAGGAGGATATTCTTAGGATCATAAAGGCTCAAGAGGGGCTGGGAAGGTGGCTCAGTGGTAGAGCGCTTGCCTTGCATGCATGGGGCCCTGGGTTCGATTCCTCAGCACCACATAAGCAAAAGAAAAAAGCCGGAAATGGCGCTGTGGCTCAAGTGGTAGAGCACTAGCCTTGAGCTGAAGAGCTGATGGAAAGCGCCCAGGCCCAGAGTTCAGGCCCCACGACCGGACCCGAAAAAAAAAACAAAAACAAAACCCATAAAGGCTCAAGAGATGTGAGCATATGATCATATAAAATGATATTTATCAGCCGGGCGCTGGTGGCTCATGCCTGTAATCCTAGCTCCTCAGGAGGCTGAGATCTGAGGATCGCGGTTCAAAGCCAGCCTGGGCAGGAGAGACCTTGAGACTCCTATCTCCAATAAACCACCAGAAAACCGGAAGTGGCGCTGTGGCTCAAGTGGTAGAGCACTAGCCTTGAGCTGAAGAGCTGAGGGACAGCGCCCAGGCCCAGAGTTCAAGCCCCACAACCGACAAAAAAAAAAAAAAATGATATTTATCAAAATGAACTCCAAGAAGTAGAAACAAGAGGTTTGGTTATTTTGCTTCTTTTTTTTTTTTTTTTTCCCCCTTTGTCACTGTTTTTGATTTCTGTACCTTTTGCCTTGTATATAAATTTATCCATTTGATGGTGGGGGAGCACAGAGTAATGGTGAACAAATGCAACAGTGATACTCACTAGATACTATGCTGAAAATGAGCTACACAATTTGTGAAGGGAGGGGCGTTGGGAGAGCAAAACTGAGGTAAGAGGTGACATTGTTCAGAAAAAAATGTATTTGTTATCTGACTTATATAACTGTAACCCCCCTACATCACCTGTACAATAATAATTTTTAAAAAAGATTGTCTTCATCTGTTTGTTTGTATACAATTTTGGTTAGTATGTTTCTCTCTGCTTTCTCATAGAATCCACGTTGTCCATTGAATGAAGAGGTAATTGCTCAAGCCAGGAAAATATTCCCTTCAGTGATAAAATACATTGTAGAAATGACTATATGGGAAGAAGAAAAGGAACTGCCTCCTGAACTGCAGATAAGGTGGGGAGAATGGGCGAAAGGGCTAGGCTTAAGTGATGGCTATCTATTTTGCAAAGTAGGTGTTGGTTATGTTTTTGTTGTTATTTATTGCTTATTATTATGAAAAATATTTTGGAGCTTCTCTTGGGAATATATATGTATGCATATATATATGTGCATATATATATACATATATATATGTGTTTTGTTTTTTTTCGTTTTGAGGGGGTTTGAACTCAGGGCTTGGGCACTGTCCCTGAGCTCTTTTGCTCAAGGCTAGTGTTCTACCACTTTGAGCCACAGCACCACTTCTGGTTTTTGAATGGTTAATTGGAGATAAGAACCTCATTGGGACTTTTCTGCCTGGGCTGGCTTTGAACTGCAATCCTTAGATCTCAGCCTCCTGAGTAATAAGGGTTACAGGCATGAGTCACCAGTGCCTGGCTTTGGGAATATTTTTTACATGTTTACATGAAAAACTAGAGGAAAAACAAGGAAAAGGTGATAGAAATCTTTTTAGAAATTTTGTATTGGTGAACTTAATCTGAGCCATCTGCCTGCCCAAAACAGGACACTTGTTTGAATATCATTGTGTTAAGTAGGTGGTACTGGTTTTTGGATCTATGGGTCTGAGAGCTATTCTCTGTCACTGCTTATCAAAGAAGTTTAACCCCTCTGAGCCTATTTCCTACACTCTAGAAGTCTGAGAAAATGTCTGTAAAGTTAGGAGATCAACAGAAAAGTCATAAATGACTTCAGGCTGATTATATATGTAAAGCCCATGGCAGCTATTTTCACTACTGAATTGTGCTCTTTTTAGAGGTGAAAAAGGCATCATCTTCTCAATAGGATTAAGAGGATAAGTGACCTGTCTAAGGTCCTGAAGCTAAACTGTGAGAGCTGCTATTTACATACACTGAAAACAAAACAAGTGGTTCCATAACAATAGGAGATGAACACAAAAATAAACACAATAGAATTCATCAGAATCTAAGCATTAATAAAATCTGATATAGTATCATTGCTGGCTTGAAGGTTATGAACCTGAGGCAGATCTCCCTTTGTCTAAATGGAAGATAAGCAAAAGTTAAGAGTGGTCTTTATGATACATTACTATTGAAATGAGCCTTCTGAAAGTAGTAAGGAAAATTGGAGGGGAAAAACATGGAAAAAGTAATATTTTTATTAATGTTTTTATTTTATTTATTTTTTTGGAGGCTACATCTCAGTGTGTTGGCCAGGCTAGTCTCTATCTAGTGAATCAAGTGATTCTCCCTTCTCAGCTTCCCTAGTGGCTAGAACTACAGGGATGTACCACCATGCCTGGATAGTTTTTTTTAAAAAATTCCTTGTTATTAAAACACTTAAAATCATTTAGTGTATCAGTATTACAGTGTTACAGTGTTTCCCACGTGTTTTGCTGTAATACAAATGTCATATGCTACTTTGTTGTATTTTTAATATTTTCCTTTATTTGTTGCAGTATTTACATATATGTATCTTTTTATTTAAAAAAAAAAACAGGGAGAAAAATGAAAGATACTACTGTGTCCTTTTCAATGATGAGCATCATTCCTATGACCATGTCATATACAGTCTGCAAAGAGCTCTTGACTGTGAACTTGCGGAGGCCCAGTTGCACACCACTGCCATAGACAAAGAGGTTTGTGGTTTCTGTTTGGTTTCTGCTGCTGCCCTTTATTAGCATCTTGCTAGTTAGGTGCTCACTGGATTCTTGTCATGTGCCTTAGCGTTGTGTTGGTATAGCTATCCTCTCTATTTATTTCTTATGGCTTGAGTAAATTGGTTAGAATTTTTTATTTTAATTTTAATTTTTTTTTTTTTTTTTTGGGTCCGGTCATGGGGCCTGAACTCTGGGCCTGGGCTCTGTCCCTCAGCTCTTCAGCTCAAGGCTAGCGCTCTACCACTTGAGCCACAGCACCACTTCCGGCTTTTTTCTTTTTGCTTATGTGGTGCTGGGGTATCGAACCCAGGGCCTCATGTATGCAAGGCAAGCGCTCTACCACTGAGCCACCTTCCCAGCCCATTTTTCAAGTTTTTAAACTGATTTGTTTCTTATTTTTAGAATAAAGCATTTCTGTAGTGTAGCTTTTATTTGATATGCATTCAAAACAAATGGTTCTTCAGGAGGCACAATTGTCTAATAAGGAACATTAACTTGGGGCTGGGAAGGTGGCTCAGTGGTAGAGTGCTTGCCTTGTATGCATGAGGCCCTGGGTTCGATTCCTCAGTACCACATAAGCAAAAAGAAAAAAGCTGGAAGTGGCACTGTGGCTCAAATGGTAGAGCGCTAGCCTTGAGCTGAAGAGCTGAGGGACAAGGCCCAGGCACAGAATTCAGGCCCCACGACCGGACAAAAAAAAAAAAAAAAGGAACATTAATTTATGCCTTTTTTTTTTGGGTCAGTTGTGGGGCCTGAACTCTGGGCCTGAGCACTGTCTTTCAGCTCTTCAGCTCAAGACTAGCCTTCTACCACTTGAGCCACAGTGCCACTTACAGCTTTTTCTGCTTATGTGATGCTAAGGAATTGAAGCCAGGGCCTCAAGAATGCAAGGCAAGCATTCTACAACTGAGCCACCTTCCCAGCCCCCTTATTTATTTAGTTATTTATTTTTTGTTGGTCCTGGGGCTTGAACTCTGTGCCTGGGTGCTGTCTCTCAGCTCTTCAGCTCAAGGCTACCACTCTACCACTTGAGCCACAGCACCACTTCTGGTTTTCTGAGTGGTTTATTGGAGGTAAGATTCTCACAGACTTTCCTGCCTGGGGTTGGCTTTGAACCATGGTCCTCAGATCTCAGCCCCCTGAGTAGCTAGGATTACAGGTGTGAGCCACCGGGGCCCAGCAAGGCCATGGAACTCTTGTCTCCAATAAACCACCAGAAAACTGGCAGTGGTGCTGTGGCTCAAGTGGTAGAGCACTAGCCTTGAGCTGAAGAGCTGAGGGATAATGCCCAGGCTCATAGTTCAAGCCCCACAACCAACCAAAATTTAAAAAAAAGAAAAGAAAAAGAAAAAGGAAAGGGAACATAAGAGAAAAGAGAGATAGGAAAAGAAGATAAGGAAAGAAAGGAAGAGAAAAGAATTACATGTGCTAAATAAATTACATGTGCTTAAAAGAACATTTTCTAGTACCTTAGAATAACAAGTTAGGCCAGATAATAGTGTCTGTGTTACTGCTTATACAGTGTAGTTACAAGTCATAGAAGAAGCTTTGAAGATCAATCAGGCTAATTTTCACCTTCTAATTGAACAAAGTAGTCTACTTGGGTCTTCATAGCTGTTAATAAATTTGTTTGTTCAGAAAATTTGAACAAAGGCATTAACAAATATTCACCACATTATCTGTCTGTCTGTCTGTCTCTGTCTGTCTATCTATCCAGTGTTGGTCCTGAGGCTTGAACTTAGGGACTGGGTACAGTCCCTGAGCATTTTTGCTCAAGGGTAGTGCTAAGGGTAGCTCAAGGCTAGCACCCTACCACTTGAGCCACAGCGCCACTTCCAGCCTTTTCTGTTTATGTGGTGTTGAGGATCTGAACCCAGGGCCTTATGCATGCGAGGCAAGCACTCTACCACTGAGCCACCTTCCCAGCCCTCAATATGTTTTTTAAAGGAATGTGTTTGTTCTGCTATAACCTTTTGTTTTGTTCTGCGATAGCCTTGTATTTTGCTGATAAAATGCTAATATATAAGATGGCACAAAACTGAAGACCATTCAAATTATATATCTTTATATTGAGAGTCCAATCTCTAAAAAAATGGCCCTCTAACTTCTGTGTGAATTCTTTTTTTGGTGGGGGGTAGGGAGCCTGGACCTGGTGCTTGAATTCTGGGCCTTGGCATTGCCCCTGAGTTCCTTTTGCTCAAGGCTGATGCTTACCACTTAAGCCACAGTGCCACTTTTGGTTTTTTGGGGGTAATTTATTGGAGATAAGAGTCTCATGGACTTTCCTGCCAGGCTGACTTCAAACTACATTCCTCAGATCTCAGCCTCCTGAATAGCTAGGATTATAGGTTTGAGCCAACTAGAGCCAGCCCTGTGGGAATATTTAAGAGTTTGTTTTTCTGTTTGTTGGACAACTCTCATTCTTAAATTTTTTTCTCCCCTATATTCAGTCCAAATCTGTCTCCATGTATTTTTAGACTGATGTCTTTTAGAGCAATCCAAGAAAAGATCTTGTGCTTGCAGATGGCATCCTACCAAATAGCTTAAGAAACTATAACTCCTTACTTCTTATGCCTGTTTTTTTTTTTCCATTTTCTTTAGCTGTTTGTTTTGAGATAGTAAGCTGATTCTGATCAAGCTCATTTCTTTCTTTTCACTCCCTCCTTTTAGATCAGTGCTAGCTTGTCAGTCTGTTCAGGAAACATGTATACAGGCACTTAGAGGAAATACCAAGAGTCAGATTGTTCTCTTTCTTTAAAGGATTATTCTCTGCCATTCTCATGAAGAAAATAGGAATTCAATAGACTTAAAGCATGTAATGGTGTTCTTTTGCAGCCCAGGCTTTGCTCTTACATTCAAGGTTAACAGACTGGTTTGCAGACTGTTAGAAACAATCTTGGGGGGCTGGGAAGGTGGTTCAGTGGTAGAGTGCTTGATTTGCATGCATGAGGCCCTGGGTTCAATTCCTCAGCACCACATAAGCAGAAAAAGTGGTACTCTGGCTCAAGCGGTATAGCGCTAGCCTTGAGCTGAAGAGCTGAGGTACAGCGCCCAGGCCCAGAGTTCAGGCCCATGATTGACAAAATGAATATATAGTAAAAAAATAAATAAAAATAAATATAAGGACAACAAACAAAAAAAGAAAAAAAAAGAAACAATCTTGGTATCAAGATACATTCTTCCTGCAGCATTACAGTGACACTCATGATTCCAGAATTCTGGGAACACCTATCAGTGTGGTAAATCCACTCCCCAGAGAAGAGTTAGCCTTGATGTCTTTCTGATGGAATGGAGTCAATACTTAAATGATTCAAAATCGGTGACTTGTTAAGTATGTGGGCTATATGTTACTTACTGATTATAGTTATCATTCTACTACTTTCATTTTTTTCTGTATTTAGGGTCGTCGGGCTGTTAAAGCAGGTGCTTATGCCTCTTGCCAAGAAGCAAAGGAAGACATAAAGGTAACTTTCTCCATTAAGACAGAGAAAACTTTAATAAGAATATGTCCTAAGAGACCAAAGCAAGCAGAGCGATCTTATTGTTAAAGTAGCTTGATACCCTAAGTAAAGATAGGATCTGGGTACTTTGACTGAGTTTGGAACTACCATGGTTGTGTGATTCACATTTTTGAAGATTAGATCACTTGGTTAAAAGCAAAATTTATATACTTAATAAAAATTGTTCCTTTCACTTGTAGAGTCATTCAGAAAATGTCTCTCAACATCCACTTCACGTAGAAGTATTACACTCTGAGGTTATGGCTCATCAGAAATTTGCTTTGCGTCTTGGTTCCTGGATGAACAAAATTATGAGCTATTCAAGTAAGCTTGCAGCCTGTTTATATTGTTTCAAGTAAAATTTTTGTAGTTTTTAATGGCCATACATTTTTAATATCATTGAAATTTCATTTTCTGTCTAGTGTTCATTTTGATTGCTTTCCACTGCATTTCAAATATATAAATATTCAGTAATATAATTTTTTGTCTGGAGTCTTTGATGTTGCCACAGTTATTCCTGACATCAAACACAGGAACATTACTGTTAGTCTTTTCACATGTTATTATAGGAAATACACTTTGAGGATACAATCAGTTTAAAATTACCTGACATACATTCTTAGGAGTTAAAATATATGTCTATCTATAGGTGAATTTAGGCAGATCTTTTGCCATGCCTGCCTTAGAGAAGAACATGGCTCTGAGAATCCCTGTCTCATAAGCAGGTTAATGCTCTGGGATGCAAAGCTTTATAAAGGTAAGTAGATTCTTAGTTATGCTATTCTCCAGGGAATCAAAGGATTTATGATTTTTATATTGAATCAGTTATTAGTCTATCATTTTGATTGATATGCTAGTATAGGTTAAGGAAGATTAATCAATCTACTTGTATTTTTCTGGGCTGAAAACCCAGTCCATGCCTTTTGATTATAGTATCTTTTCATCTAGCCAAGACAAGCTAAAAGAATGAGTATAATTTTATGTAGTAAAGCATTTGTTCAAGCTATGTTTTCATTTAAAATATCTAAATGAGGAGCAGAAAGTAAAAGATGGATGTGAAGCTAAAGTATGAAAAAGGAAAAGTACATGGCCAGAATAGTTTTGCGTGAAACAGTGAAAAGAAATGAAAAAGTTTGCAGAGGAGTAAAATAAATGTTGCAGAGAAAGTAAATAGGCACTGGTGGCCTCACACCTGTAATCCTAACTACATAAGAGGCTGAGATTTGGAGGATTAAGTTCAGAACCAGCCTAGGCAGAAAAATCTCCAAGGCTCCATCTCTGAAAAACTGGCAAAAAGTCAGACTGGAAACATGACTCAAGTGGTAGAGTGGCAGCTTAGCAAGCAAGTTAAGTATGTGCGAGACCTTGAGGTCAAACCCTGGTACTGACAAAAAAATAAATAAATACAGCAAGCCATGGTGGCTCATGTCTGTAATCCAGCTATTTGAGAGGCAAAGATTATAGGAGGATCCCAGTTTTGAGGCCTTCCCTGGTAGAAAGTTAGCAAGACCCTATCTCAACAAATAAAGCCTGGAATGGTGGTTCATGTCTGTAATCTCAGCTATGCCAGAGACATAAGTAGTAAGGTTATGGCCTAAGGCACACCTTGGGTAAAGCTTGAGACCATATCTAAAATAAAAGCAAAAAAAGGCTTGGAGAGCTGGGAAGGTGGCTCAGTGGTAGAGCGCTTGCCTTGCATGCATGAAGCCCTGGTTTCGATTCCTCAGCACCACATAAGCAAAAAGAAAAAAGCCGGAAATGACGCTGTGGCTCAAGTGGTAGAGCGCTAGCCTTGAGCTGAAGAGCTGAGGGACAGTGCCCAGGCCCAGAGTTCAGGCCCCATGACTGGACCCCCCCCCCAAAAAAAAAAAAAAAAAGGCTTGGAGTTTGGAGGGCATGGCTCAGATGGTAGAGCAGTTACTAGAGGCTTTGAGTTCAAACCCTAGTGCCACCACAAAAAAAAGAGGCAACATGGTAATACATGTTTTTATTTGTTTTCTGTGTGTTATGTTTTACTATACTAACTACTACTCATGGTTGCCCTTGAGATCTATTAACGTGAAATATTCTTAATAGTATTTTACCATTTCTAATGGCTGGGATAATTTGTTTTTCTTTGGTGATATCCCATCATCCCTGCTTCCCAAATAACCTATAGGTGCCCGGAAGATCCTTCATGAATTGATCTTCAGCAGTTTTTTTATGGAGATGGAATACAAAAAACTCTTTGCCATGGAATTTGTGAAGGTAATTGCTCTTCATGAACAAATATCAGCAAACAAAAATAGAAGGTAGCTTGTAATAAATGAGACAATAAGAACAATGGCGTCATGATGATCATAAAGAATTTTATGGTTGCTTTCTTTTTTTATTAGCTTACATTAGTTAGTTACACACGTTTGCAACATAGTCCATCAGTCTCTCCCCCTCTCTTACTGTCACCTCTCTCTGCCCTCCTTCTTCCTTTCCAAAACAGTTTCAACTCATTTCATTGTTCTGTATTCATAGTTGCAAATAATTAATTTCAACAGTATTCAACCTCTATTCTCCTGTGGTTCATTTCTTTTTCTTTATTTTTTGTTACATAAATCTGTTCACGGATGGTATTTGGTAAAATGGAAAACACAGTTTAGGCCTAGATCCCAAGAACCAGCAAAGGAGAGTTATTCAGTCACATGTATATTCATCCCTATTAATTAATTGTTTATTTGCTGTTAGTAAATTTTGTTTTTTGGGGGGGTCCGGTCATGAGTCCTGAATTCTGGGCCTGGGCGCTGTCCCTCAGCTCTTCAGCTCAAGGCTAGGGCTCTACCACTTGAGCCACAGCACCACTTCCAGCTTTTTTCTTTTTGCTTATGTGGTGCTGAGGAATCGAACCCAGGGCCTCATGCATGCAAGGCAAGCGCTCTGCCACTGAGCCACCTTCCCAGCCCCCTGTTAGTAAAATTTTAGCAGTAGAGAAGCGACTACTCAAAGGTAATAGCTGGAAAGAGGAACAGATGTGATACTCGTGGGAGGCAGGAAGTAGATGATAGCAGTTACAATTAATTGAGGCTAATTCCAAGATTTGTAAAATTTAGAGCTTTTGTATATTGGGCTTGAACTCTGGGCCTTGGCGCTATTCCTGAGCTCTTCAGCTCAAGGCTAATGCTCTACCACTTAAGCCACAGCACCACTTCTGGTTTTCTGGTAGTTTACTGGAGATGTTTCACAGACTTTCCTGCCCAGGTTGGCTTTGAAACATGATCTCAGATCTCAGCCTTCTGAGTAGCTAGGATTACAGGCGTGAGCCCCCAGCGCTCAGCTAACTCCTCTGGTTTTTATCTATGGGTTTTTCTGTTCTGTTTTGTTTTCAACAGTTCTTTTGACATTGCCTAACTTTAGTTGAACTCAACTAATTTTTTGTTCTCTCAGATTTTTATTTTGACTGTGATATCTTGCCCTGATAAATAGAAGCAATATTATACTTGTCATCTTATGAGTAGATTTATGCTTGCAAATGTTACTAAAATTGAGAAGGTGTTAGTAGTGATATGTAATAGAATCTCCACTTCTGTCTTTCAGTATTATAAGCAACTGCAGAAGGAATATATCAGTGATGATCATGACAGGAGTATCTCTATAACTGCACTGTCAGTTCAGATGTTTACTGTTCCTACTCTGGTATGTATGATATCGCTTTGCAGTCTTTCTAAATGTTTTTGCTTCATGAGAATTTTACTTAGTGCTGAACCAAAACAATGTCAAAACTACTAAGTTGTATTAATTTTATTTGTGCAGTTTGATACTCCATGGCATCTGCGTGTGAATGATAACCTTTGTGGCATCTAAGGACCAAGCGAGTGGGTCTGGGTCCTGCCCTTTGCCCCTCCCCTAGAGGTGACATCCGTAGCAGATTTCTCCCTGTAGTAATTCCTAAGTTACTATATGATGTAGCATTGAAAAGGAGCACTGCCTTTCAATACCATTTCTTAAAAAACAAAAAACAAAACTTGTAGTTATTGTTTGACATAGATATACAGTAAGGACAAACCAAGGAGACTGAGTGTGCGCCCATCAGGCACTGCTGTGCGATGGTGCTGAGGCCTGGGAAGAGAATGGAGCATCCGGCTTCCTTTTTGTAGAACTTCTGTACCTGATTTTTTTTCTGGGCACTTTAGTTGACTATGCCTACTTTAGCCTTTTCAAAGGGCCAGAGAAGACAATGGGGAAAAGAAATTAAGTGAGGGTGGGAGATGTATGCCAGAATAGGGTTAATATGATAGAAATTGAGAAGGAGATCTTTGATGTGCTCTTCTTATGATTACTAATGATACATATTTATCAAGATGACCTGTAAAATGGGCTTAAAGAATCTAGGTAGGTATTTTTTAGTTAATAAGGGTAGGAGACTTATTTATTTATTTATTGTCAGTCATGGGGCTTGAACTCTGGGCCTGGGCGCTGTCCCTCAGCTCTTCAGCTCAAGGCGAGTGCTCTACCACTTGAGCCACAGTGCCACTTCCGGTTTTGAGTGGTTTATTGGTTCCTATCTAGGCTGGCTTTGAACTTTGATCCTCAGATCTCAGCCTCCTGAGTAGCTAGAATTACAGGCATGAATCACCGGCGCCCAGCTTGAGACTTCTGTTTTTAAAAACTAACTTCTCAGTAATAGATACTCTCTAAAACTAGGATTGTTTTTCATACTCAATATGGATATTTATTAAAATATTTATTGCTGAGCATAGGAGGTTGGTATCTCATGCCTTTAATTCCAGCACTTAGGAGGCTGAGGCATACTGAGACTTAGCCTCAAACAAAAAAAAAAAACTACTGACCAACCATACAAATGGATAAATAAATTCAGTCTATGCCATGGTGAATTAATGCTAAAGATAGTATTCTTAAAATATTCTTCAGGCTCGACATCTTATTGAAGAACAGAATGTTATTTCTGTCATTACTGAAACTCTGCTGGAAGTTTTACCTGAATACTTGGACAGGAACAATAAATTCAACTTCCAGGGTTATAGCCAAGACAAACTGGGAAGAGTATATGCAGTAATATGTGACCTAAAGTAAGTTGTTCCCATCAAAAGGTGAGGGCACCTGTAAACACATTGTGTGCTTATTTGCTCTGCCTTATGACCCTAAACGCTGATTCTTGTGGTTATCTAGGATTCTCCTTGCAAATGATGGCAAGGACAAATAACAGTGACTGCATCATATAACACAGTTGTCTGTCTGTATCCCAGGAGTCCTACATCTATGGATTAAACCAACAATTGATTGAAAATATTTGAAAAATATCTTAGGTTTATTTGGTTCTTTATTTATTGCCAGTCCTGGGGCTTGAACTCAGGGCCTGGGCACTGTCCTTGAGCTTCTTTTGCTCAAGTGTAGTGCTCTGCCAACTGAGCCATAACACCACTTCTAGTTTTTTCTGAGTAGTTTATTGGAGATAAGAATCTCACGGACTTTTCTGCCTGGGCTGGCTTTGAACTGCCATCCTCATATCTCAGCCTCCTGAGTAGCTAGGGTTACACGTGTGAGCTATCAGTGCCCGGCTAAAATACCTTAGTTTATATTCAACATGTGTAGATATTTTTCTTGTTCTTTTTTTTTTGTTGGTTGTGAGGCTTGAACTCTGGGCCTGGGCACTGTCCCTCAGCTCTTCAGCTCAAGGCTAGCACCCTACCACTTGAGCTAGAGCCCCACTTCTGGTTTTCTGGTAGTTAATTGGAGATAAGAGTTTCACCGACTTTCCTGCCTGGGCTGGCTTTGAACTGCGATCCTCAGATCTCAGCTTCCTGAGTAGCTAGGATTACAGGCGTGAGCCACTGGTGCCCGGCTAAAATAACTTAGTTTATATTGAACATGTGTAGATTTTTTTTCTTGTTCTTAGTCTTGACTATAGGTAACAACTTTTTTTTTTTTTTCGGATCTGGTCGTGGGGCCTGAAGTCTGGGTCTGGTACTGTGTTGTGTCTTCAGCTCAAGGCTAGCCACTTGAACCATAGTGCCACTTCTGGCTTTTTTCTTTTTGCTTATGTGGTGCTGAGGAATCGAACCTAGGGCCTCATGCATGCAAGGCAAGCGCTCTACCACTGAGCCACCTTCCCAGCCCCAGGTAACAACTATTAACATGGCATTTATATTGTTTTAGATATTAAATTATCTGGAGATGATTTTAGGTAACAGAAGGATGTTCACAGGCTGTATACAAATACTTCGCCATTTTGTATATCTCAAGGAGAGGTGGTAGAATTTCCACTCCCCTACTAATACCAAAGGTTATCTGCAAATGCCTTCAATGAAAGCTTGTGTGTGTGCAAGTGTGCAAGCACGTGCGTGCACACACATGTGTATGCTAGTACTAGGGTTCAAACTTTGCTTTTGCACTCAAAACTCACACTCTACTATTTGAGCCACAACTATACTTCCAGCTTTTTGGTCGTTAATTAGGGATAAGAGTCTCATAGACTTCCTGCTGAATTGGCTTTGAGCCACAATCCTCAGATCTCAGCTTCTTGAGAAGCTAAGATTACAGGTGTGAGCCACTGGCACCCAGCTAAAATAATAATTGTTAATGATTGCATCCTGAGAAGTTATTCCATTATAAACATGGTTCATATTGGCCTATTGCAATATTTTCAGCCTACCAAAAGCATTGTTCTTGCTAAATTGTAGCTAAAATGAGTTTATCTCTCAAAAATCTGGAAGTAGGAGCTGGGAAGGTGGCTCAGTGGTAGAGTACTTGCCTTGCATGCATGAAGCCCTGGGTTCGATTCCTCAGCACCACATAAGCAAAAAGAAAAAAAAGCCAGAAGTGGCTCTGTTGCTCAAGTGGTAGAGCTCTAGCCTTGAGCTGAAGAGCTGAGGGACAGCGCCCAGGCCCAGAGTTCAGGCCCCAGGACTGGACCAAAAAAAAAAATCTGGAAGTAGGAAACTGATTCAAATCTCCTAAGCCTGAACGGATTTCCACTGGTCCTTTGGATGCTCTCTGTGATGAGTCCTATGAGATGTATACTGTGTTCATACCGAATTGTCTGTGACTGGCTGGGCTAACTTGGGTCAGTGTTTATTTATTCAGATTAAACTCTGTGGAAGTCAGGTTTAGTTTTGATCTTTCCCTTATAGAGCATTTCTATAATTTGTTAGTTGTATGTAAAATAAAGCAAAATAAATAATTCTAGCTCTGTCTAGAGCTTCTAGTTAAAAAATTGGAATGCACAATTTTAATAAGTGAACATTGTATATAAACCAAGAAACTTAGAGAAATTATCTCAAAATAAAGAAATGAAACATTTCTTCTTGAAATTGATAGGTATATCCTGATCAGCAAACCCACACTATGGACAGAAAAATTAAGAATGCAGTTCCTGGAAGGATTTCGATCTTTTTTGAAGATTCTTACCTGTATGCAGGTATGATAATTCTGTAAACCAATAAGAGAAGAATATTGTTAAAAATATAATCCCTTCAAGGGGCTGGGAAGGTGGCTCAGTGGTACAGCGCTTACCTTGCATGCATGAGGCCCTGGGTTCATATCCTCAGCACCACATAAGCAAAAAGAATAAAAGCCAGAAGTGGCATTGTGGCTCAAGTGGTAGAGCGTTAGCCTTGAGCTGAAGAGCTAGAGACAGCGCCCAGGCCCAGAGTTCAGGCCCCATGACCGGACCCAAAAATAAATAAATAAATAAATAAATAAATAAATAAATATATAATCCCTTCAAAAGACTGAAGTATAGTCTTCATTTTTTTTCGTCTTCTTCTTTCTTAGCAAGTTGTGAATTTCCTAAGAGGAAATTTTATGTAGCAAAGTAGAAATGAGATGTCAGCACCAACTCACTGATCCTCCTTCAGCAGATTTTTCTTTATGTCTTAGTTTACTGCTATTATAGTAATGCTTATCAAATACTTACCATATGATAGCTTTATAGTAATCACTCCATGTATTGTCCATTTTAAATTTATAACAATCATATGATTTACTTATTACTCTCACATTACATATAAAGGAATGGGAGCTTGTATAGCTAGAAATCCCAAAGAGAGCAGGCATTTGAACTCATGGATTCTAACCTAGCTTAATAACAATGTTAAAATAGTGACTCAGGGAGCAGAGAAAGGCCAGAGTTTGATTAATCTTTTCTTGCAGGGAATGGAAGAAATCAGACGACAGATCGGGCAGCACATAGAAGTGGATCCTGACTGGGAGGCTGCTATCGCTATACAGATGCAATTAAAGAACATTTTACTCATGTTTCAGGAGTGGTGTGCTTGTGATGTAAGTTAAAGCCTTGTTAGGAAGAGCAGAGTTTTTTTAAGTACTATCTAACTATTTAATAGTATAGTTTTTTGTTGCTTCTTTGATGTAAATATATATTACTTAAATAATAGTAAATATTTTAATATGTCTTATTAAATTTAGGGGAAAAATACAGTGTTTTATCCTTGTTGGATATAGATGTCCCAGGCTAGTTTTGCTTATTTGGGAAAATTTCCAGGTTAAAAATTATACTTTTATCTGGATGCCTGTGGCTCATACCTTCAATACTACACTACTTGGAAGGGGATGGATGGAAAAATCGCTGTTCAAGGTCAATGTGGGCAGAAACGTTTGAGAGATTTCTTTCCAACCCATAACTGGTTGCAGTGACACACACCTATTTTTCCAAGCTATGTAGGAGGATAGGATTGGAAGGATCATGGTTCTAGGACAGCCAAGGCAGAAAAGTCCAAAAGACTTCAGCTCCACAAAGGAAGGATGAATTTGCAATGAATTGGGAAGCCTAAAGTAGGAAGGAAGGTTGCAGCTCAGGAGCATGTCGTGGCAAGAAGTGAAAACCCTATCTCAAAAATAACCAGCAGGGCTGGGAAGGTGGCTCAGTGGTAGAGTGCTTGCCTTGCATGCATGAGGCCCTGGGTTCATTCCTCAGCACCACATAAGCAGGGGGAAAATTAAAAAAGCCAGCGCTGTAGCTCTCAAGTGGTAGAGCACTAAACCTTGACTGAAGAGCTGAGGGACAGAGCCCAGGCCCAGAGTTCAGGCCCCACGACGGACCAAAAAAAAAAAAAACCCACCATAAAATAGGGCTAGAGGCATGATTTGAGTGGTAGCTCCAGTTTAGCAGGCATAAGGCCCTGAGCTAAAACCCCACTACCACACTTCTAAAATATGTGTCTGTATTATTTTATATACATTTATTTATTTGAAAATGACTGTTAGTACTATTTGACTTTTAAATACTTCAAGAATGGAGAAAGTTTGGTTATATAATCAAGAGGATTACTATAAGCAAACTATTTAGAAACTAATTTAAGAATATAGAACCAGTGTATTTTTTTTTTTTTTTTGGTTGGTCGTGGGGCTTGAACTCTGGGCCTGGTCGCTGTCCCTGCACTCTTCAGCTCAAGGCTAGCACTCTATCACTTAAGCCACAGCGCCCCTTCCGGTTTTTGAGTGGTTTGTTGGAGATAAGAATCTCATGGTCGGGTTGGGAAGGTGGCTCAGTGGTAGAGCGCTTGCTTTGCATGCATGAGGCCCTGGGTTCGATTCCTCAGCACCACATAACCAAAAAGAAAAAAAAAACGGAAGTGGCGCTGTGGCTCAAGTGGTAGCGCGCTAGCCTTGAGCTGAAGAGCTGAGGGACAGTGCCCAGGCCCCACGACCGGACCCAAAAAAACAAAACAACAACAAAAAACAGTCTCACGGACATCCTGCCAGGGCTGACATTGAACCTCAATCCTCAAATCTCAGCCTCCTGAGTAGCTTGGATGACAGGCATGAGCCACGGGCACCCAGCTACGAATGTATTTTTGTAAGCAATGTTTTTAGCTCATAGCTCTCTGTATACTCCAACTATAAAACCCAGCTCTCCTTTGGAAAAGTAAACTGATTTATTTCTTTTCTAAGAAAATTGACTTGATATGAATCAAATTCTTTATCTCTTCTGGCTTTTATATCCTGTCCTCATAATCTGTTTACTGACAGAGCTAGTTTGTGTGTTCACCATCTTTCCCCTGCCTTTTCTTTTTTTGTTTAACTGATCTTGGAGCTTTTTTTCTCCTCCCTGTGCCCCACCCCAAGGATGGTGCTGTATACGTGAGGCACATTTCTACTTCCAGCTTTTTGCTATTTTTTGTTTTGTTTTGTTTTGTGCCAGTCCTGGTGCTTGAACTCAGGACCTGGACATTGTTCCTGTGCTGCTTTTTGTTCAAGACTAGCACTCTACCACTTGAACCACAGCTCCACTTCTGGTTGGTTTTTTGTTTTTTGTTTTTTTGGTAGTTTATTGGAGATAAGAGTCTCTTGGGCCTTCCTGTCCTGGCTGGCTTCAAACTGTCATCCTCAGATCTCAGCCTTTCGAGTAACTAGGATTACAGGTGTGAGCCACCAGTGTCCTGCTTCTTGATCATAAGAGTGGCTGGCTCCAAATCTTACTTGTCGGATCTCAGTCTACTTATTAACTAGTATTATAGATGTGAGCTGCTAGAGCCTGGTTTTGCCTACTTTTTTTTGTCTTTCTAAAGTCTATGCCTCTAACTAGGCCCTTGATTACAACTTAATAACCTCTTTTCTGGAATTTACATCCTCATTTATCTCTGCATCTGTTTTCCCATTCTTCTACTAGACCATACCTGAAAAATAAAACAAAAAAGGCCAGCATGTGTAGTTTAAGTAGTACAATGCTTGTCTACCAAGTACAAGGCTCAGTACTACCAAAAAAATTTTTTTTGCATAACTTATAGTCTTAGTAATAAATTAGAAAATTTTACTCCTATTTAATAAATACTTATTTAATTAGTGGTAAAGTATCTAACTTGTCAATCGTATTTGTATTTTCATTTTCCCTTAAGGAAGAACTCTTACTAGTGGCTTATAAGGAATGCCACAAAGCTGTGATGAGGTGCAGTACAAATTTCTTATCTAGCAGCAAGACAGTAGTACAATTGTGTGGTCATACTCTGGAAACCAAGTCCTACAGAGTGTCTGAGGATCTTGTGAGCATACATCTGCCACTTTCTAGGACTCTTGCTGGTGAGTGATTATTTTTGGTTTTGGCATATTTCTTACAACCTTGTTCTCCAGATGTTTAGAGTAGTAAAACAATTCTCTTTTTTTTTTTTTTCAAATCTCATTTTTGTTCTGCGCCCAGTGTGTGCAGACACAGCTCAGATCAGACACTAATTCAGGACTGCCATTATTTTTGTCCTTTTTAAAAACTGACACCAGCCAGGCACTGGTAGCTCACCTGTAATCCTATCTACTCACGTTGCAATATGTTTTCTTCTGTTTTTATAGTGTTAAGGTCCTATATTTAAACCTTTTGATTCATTTGAGTTAGTTTTTGTATATGATGTAAATGATACCACATAGTTTTATATTGGTTCTATTTTAATTTCATGTTAGTTTTAGATAATGTATGAGCACACAATACACAATTATAGAATTTTAAGTGTTCTTTTGGTAATAATGTGTTTCAAACAAGGCATAAGAAAATTTTAGTTTAAAATATCATTTCTAAATTCAGCAAATGTGTGTGTATGTCTGTCTGTCTGACTGACTGTGTGTCTGTGTGATGAAGATTTAACTTAGGACCTCATGTATGCTAGATAAAGCACTCTACCACAGAGCTATACTGCTAGACCTGGTACACATACATTTTATAATGTATAAATTAACTAGTAAATAACTAGTGAAAAACTAGATAACTAGTAAACAAATTAACTGGGTTAAATGCTTTCTTGTTTTTTTTTTCTTCTTAAAAACAACCAGGTCTTCATGTGCGCTTAAGCCGGCTAGGTGCTGTTTCAAGACTGCATGAATTTGTGCCTTTTGTAAGTGACTATTAAGTATCAATTTGTTTATATTCTACTTCTAATCACCTCTAAGTTGATCGGTGGGAAAGGTAATGGGAATATCTTACCAACTGAGTAGTAATTCTCATTAATTGTAATTTTATAACTATATATTATCACATTGAAATCACAAGGACTTGGAAGTCATCTAGTTTAAGCCCTTTCATTGATAGATTAGAAAACTGAAGATCAGGCATTTGAAATGGACTTCAATCTGTTTCAGGAGGACTTTCAAGTAGAGATACTAGTGGAATATCCTCTGCGTTGTCTGGTGTTGGTCGCCCAAGTTGTTGCTGAGATGTGGCGAAGAAATGGACTCTCCCTCATTAGCCAGGTACGATAAGGTGTATTATCTGGACTGAGTGTGTTCATTTTTATTCTTTGTTCCTTTTTTTTCCTTTCCTTATATCTCTCCCTCCCTTCTTCCCTCCCTCCCTCCCTCCCTCCTTCCCTCCTTTCCTTCTCTCTCTGTCATCTCTTTATCTTTTTCTCTTTCTTTCTTTCTTTGTCTATCTCTCTCTCTCTCTCTATCTATCTCTCTTTCCCTCCCTTTCTCTTCATTCTTTCTGTTTTTGCCCCCTTCCCACCTTTTTCTTCTTTTTGGCACAAGTTTCAGGCTGGTCTTAAACTCTGTACCTAGGATTGCCCTCAAACTCGTAATCTTTTACCTAGCCTCTCATACCACCTGGCTTATTTATAATTTTACCCCAAACAAATCCCTTTAATTATATAAACTTTTAATTTTTTAATTTTTTATTTATTTATTTTTATGGGGAGTTGAAGTTCTGGGGTTTAAACTCTGGGCCTCTTGCTTACCAGTCAGTCATTCAAAAATGGAGCTATGCCTCAAGCCATAAACTCTTAGAAGGAGAAATTCTCGTGGTCATGCAGATGCTTATTCTATTTGAGTTATAAGAAACAGGGATCCTTGCATAGACTTAAGTAGTAGAAAGCTGGTAGTTTCACAGGAATCTCCCTTTATCATAGCTCTTTTCTGACGATTACTTTATTGGTAAGACATTTGGTCTTCCTACCAGCTGTCTTAATCAAAGGACAGAGATGTAGCTCAACCGTAAAGCCTTTCCCTGTGTAAGTTTGAGTCCCACTACTGCAAAACAAATTCAATGGCTACCTTATAATTTTTCTTCTGTTTTAAACAATAGGGAGAAGTATTTTCCTCACAAAGAGGGAAATAGAACTTGTAAAGGTATCACTGGAGGAAAAAAGGATACTATGTTTAAGACTAGAAATTGGTTTGCTTTTATTCAAGCAGGTTTTGTTTTTGTCAGTCTTGGGACCTGAACTCTGGGCTTGGGTTCTGTCCCTGAGCTCTTCAGCTCAAGGCTAGCACTCTACCATTTGAGTGACAGCACCACTTCTGGCTTTTTCTGCTTATGTGGTGCTGAGGAATCGAACCCAGGGCCTCATACATGCAAAACAAGCACGCTACCACTGAACCACCTTCCTAGCCCTCAAGCAGGTATTTTTAAACTTAGGTAAAAATAAATTTTTGTTGTTATATATATGGAGAATTTGGAGATAATTAATTCAGAGCATTTTCAACTGTAAATCATTTTCATATTTCCTCATTTTATCCCTCCAAACCTCTTGATTTATAGATTTATATAGTTAATTTTTGTTTGTAAGGGGTACCAAGGGTTTAAAGTGATAGAAAAGGGTTTTTATTTGTTTACTTAAAATTATTGTTTGTGTTGGTACTGAAGCTTAAAGTCAGGGCCTGGTTGCTGCTCCTGACCTTTTTTGCTCAAGGCTGGCATTCTACCACTTGAGCACAGCTCCATTTCCAGCCTTTTTTGGGGTGATTAATTAGAAATAAGAATCCTATGGACTTTCCTACCCACCTAACTTTGAACTGTGATCCTCAGATCTCATTCTTCTGCGTAGCTAGGATCACAGGCATGAACCATTGGCATCTGGCAAGTGATAGAAAGTTTTAAAAATAGCTTTTGTTGAGAATTTTGTTTGAAATAAAATAATTCTTTTGGCATCTATCTTTTATTTTATAGGTGTTTTATTACCAAGATGTTAAGTGCAGAGAAGAAATGTATGATAAAGATATCATCATGCTTCAGGTAGCTGTGAAAATTACTTTTATATTTACACCTTCACTTTCTTATATTCCTTGAAAAAAGAAATGAGAAAACTAAGGGCTGGGAAGGTGGCTCAGTGGTAGAGCACTTGCCTTGCATGCATGAGGCCCTGGGTTCGATTCCTCAGCACCACATAAGCAAAAAGAAAAAAGCTGGAAGTGGTGCTGTGGCTCAAGTGGTATAGCACTAGCCTTGAGCTGAAGAGCTGAGGGACAGTGCCCAGGCCCAGAGTTCAGGCCCCATGACTGGACCCCCAAAAAAAAAAAAAGAAATGAGAAAATAGAATAATTGTTGTCAACTTCACTTGAATTTTTCTCATGAAAGTGAACAGCACAGAAATAGTGCATTATACTACTTTTGTTTTTTTTTTGAAAACTTTTAATTTTCTAATAGGGCAACTAGAAACAGTGTTTTTCCACTTAATATACAGAAATGTGACACAAGGTTCTTTTACAGATTGGAGCATCTTTAATGGATCCCAACAAGTTTTTATTACTTATACTTCAGAGGTATGAACTTGCTGATGCTTTTACCAAGACTATTTCCACAAAAGACCAGGTAAAACAACAGAAATTGGCATGTGAACTAATTCCAGAGGAAATGTTACCATTACTATTTTAAACATTTAAAAAGTTTATTTATGTTTACAGTTGGGCCTCTGTGTAGGTTCTACTACCTAAAAAATAATTAAAGCAAAAAGGCCTGGTATGTGGCTCAAGTGCTAGAGCACCTGCCTAGTAAAAAAATATTGTAAGACTTTGAGTTGAAACTCAAGTGCTACTAAAATAATAATGATGATAATGGTGATGAATGTATTAGGGAAAGGTATTCTCCCAATAATTTGGATATCTTTTGAAAACATTTTCCTCAGTAACCTAGTAAAAAGGAAGAGTTAAAGATTAGAATTAGTTTGTTGAGGGGCTGAGAAGGTAGCTCAGTAGTAGAGTGCTTGCCTTGCATGCATGAGGCCCTGGGTTCAATTCTTCAGCACCACCTAAGCAGAAAAAGCAGGAACTAGCACTGTGGCTCAAGTGGTAGAGTGTTAGCCTTGAGCTAAAGAGCTGAAGGACAGCCAGCACCCAGGGCCAGAGTTCAGGACCCAGAACTTCTAACTTCTCACTAACTATTGCTGTGTGCTGAAGAAAATACTAGACTGGGTGGACCAGAGGCTGATGTAGAAATGCAGGTTTTAGATTCTTATGTAACTAATCTCTCTCCTTTTTTAATTCTATAGGATTTGATTAAGCAGTATAATACTTTAATAGAAGAAATGCTTCAGGTCCTCATCTACATTGTGGGTAAGATTAAAGCAAAACATTTTGAAATCAAATGTGGGCTGCTTTTCAGAGAATGTTAACAAAGCTGTAATGGATTATTTTACCCTATTCCAAACACTACATAGGATATTAGAGATTTATGTAGCAGGTGTGACTGATAGATTTGGAAAACCCCACCTTTTAAAAAGCCTATAAATTGTACATTCTTTTTTTTTTTTTGGTCAGTTGTGGGTTTCAACTCTGGGCCTGGGTGCTGTCCTTCAGCTCTTCAGTTCAAGACAAATGCTCTACCACTTGAGCCACAATGCTACTTTCGGTTTTCTGAGTGGTTTATTGGAGATAAGAGTCTCACAGACTCTCCTGCCTGGGCTGGCTTTGAACTGTGATCCTCAGATCTCAGCCTCCTGAGTAGCTAGGATTACAGGAGTGAGCCACCAGTGTCTGGCAAATTGTACGTTCTTTCTCATTCTACGTTGTGCTGGAAACCAAACCCAGGTCCTTATGCAGCCAAGAAAGTTTTTTGTTTTGTTTTTTTTAAACAACTGAAATACATCTTCAGACATCTTTTTTTTTTTTTTTTTTTGGGTCGGTCATGGGGCTTGAACTCTAGGCTTGGGCGCTGCCCCTCGACTCTTCAGCTCAAGACAAACGTTTTACCACCACTTTGGTTTTCTGGTGATTATTTTGAGATAAGAGTCCCATAGTTCCCTTGCCTGGGCTGGCTTTGAACCATGGTCCTCAGATCTCAGTCTCCTGAGTAGCTAGGATTACAGGTGTGAGCCACCGGTGCCTAGCACCTTTGTATTTTTTTTTTTTTTTTTTGTCGGTCGTGGGGCTTGAACTCTGGGCCTGGGCGCTGTCCCTCAGCTCTTCAGCTCAAGGCGAGCGCTCTACCACTTGAGCTACAGCGCCACTTCCGGTTTTCTGGTGGTTTATTGGAGATAGGAGTCTCACGGTCTCTCCTGCCCGGGCTGGCTTTGAACCGCGATCCTCAGATCTCAGCCTCCTGAGTAGCTAGGATTACAGGCGTGAGCCACCAGCGCCCGGCTGTATTTTTTTTTTTTTTTTTTAATCTAGTTTGTAACTTTGGAATTTAGCAAAGTATGGTATAATTATCATAGTAAGAAACGTCAATTTAAAAAAAAACCTTATTTAAGTAGTTCTAAAAGTTACATATGTACAGGAAATTTAAACATAGCATGGATACACATGAAAATGTCTTCATGGGGCTGGGAAGGTGGCTCAGTGGTAGAGCGCTTGCCTTGCATTCATGAGGCCCTGGGTTTGATTCCTCAGCACCACATAAGCAGAAAAAAAAAAGCCAGAAGTGGCGCTGTGGCTCAAGTGGTAGAGCGCTAGCCTTGAGCTGAAGAGCTGAGGGACAGCGCCTAGACCCAGAGTTCAGGCCCCACGACCGGACCAAAAAAAAAAAAACACAAAACATATATATATATATATATATATATATATATATATATATCTTCATTTTGTTATTCTGTCAAATTACTGTGCAAATTAGCTTCACTAAAGTTAGTTGAGGAAGAGAAAAAGAAATGTTCACTGGCAGAAATGATTATCGAATTGTTAGGGTGTTGGCCTTTACATATATGTTTTCTATTCAGCCGAAATTAATATAAGCACTCCTTGCACAAGTGAGTGTGTATTTACACATATATAGACTGTTAATTTTTCCATTTGCCCCAGCTATTCCCATCATCTATCCCATAGCTTTTAGTATATACTAACAAATCGGTCTTAGAAAAATTAATAGTAGGGGCTGGAGGTAGAGTTCAAGTATTAGCACACCTGCCTAGCAAGCCTGCGGCCCTCAGATCAGACTCCAGTATCTTCAAGAAAAAAAAAAGAGGAAAAAAAAATAAGTTACTTGTGTTTAAATCTCTTAATGCTTGTGTATCAGTAATGGCATGATATCTTTGACACTTGTTGACCTTATAGATGAAAAGTAATAGCTCATTTTGACTCACAGTTTTTCATTAATGGCATTGATTATGTTTACATTATTACTATTATTAACCTTTTTGGAATCAATATCCCTTTACCTTTTTCTTGTTTTCAAATTCTAAAAAAAAAAAAAAAAAATCTCAAATTCTAGTACTGTTGAGAGAGACATAGGCATACAAACAGACAAGACAGGCAGACAATTAAGGAGATTTTTAAAAGCAAAGCTATTCATTGATAGCCAGTGCTCATTCCCATGCCAGCTATCTTATTTTCTGGATTAGAATCACATGCTACCTTGAAGGGCCTTGTATATAATGTGAAGAGTGTGTAGTTCTACACATGTGTATTCATGTGTGAGTTAAAACTGACCATTCATTTCTCTCCCTCTGTACTTCAACAAGTAGATTATTACTCAGATTTGGGGAATACCTAAAATAATTTTTGGCCTGTTTCTAATAGATTAGTAAGTAGACCTAGTCGAGATTCAAATAGAAACTAATTAATTCTTCTATTCTCTTTTCATTGTATTTATCAGGAGAGCGTTATGTACCTGGAGTGGGAAATGTGACCAAAGAAGAGGTCACAATGAGGGAGATTACTCACTTGCTGTGCATTGAACCAATGCCACACAGTGCTATTGCCAAGAACTTACCTGAGAATGTAAGTCTCTTTTCAATTCTCTCTTTATGTCAAGATTGAGATCGTTTTTCTCTTCTTTTAATTGAAAGTGTCTTTGAATGGCAGGAAAATTTTTTAGCCCAATGACATATATATATATATATATATATATATATATATTTTTTTTTTTTTTTTTTTTTTTTTTTTTTGGTTGGTCACGGGGCTTGAACTCTGGGCTTGGGCACTGTCCTTGTACTCTTCATCTCAAGGCAAGTGCTCTACCACTTGAGCCTCATCGCCACTTCTGGTTTTCTAGTGTTTTATTGGAGATACGACTCTCACAGACTTTCCTGCCCGGATTGGCTTTCAACTGTGATCCTCAGATCTCAGCGGCCTCCTGAGTAGTTGGAATTACAGGTGTGAGCCACCGGCGCCCAGCAAAATGACCTATATTTTTATCTTACAGATTTAAACTACGTACTATTCAATCTTTAGTCGCATAAACTCTTAATTCTGAGAAAACCTTCTTGAATTTAATATATATGTATGTGTATAGCTCTCTCTCTCTCTCTCTCCCTCTCTCTCTAGAGAGAGATAGATAGCTAAAGATAAGCTTTAGTTATACAGATTGGATTTCATTGTTACATTTTTACTCATGTAACCACCAAAAAAACCTGAAGTGGATCTGTGGCTCAAGTGGTAGAGCTCCAGAATTAAGTGAAAAGGCTAAGGGACAGTTGTCCAGGCTTGAATTCAAGTCCCTGTACTGGCATGAAAGAAATGAAAGCAAGGAATGAAGGAAGAATGAAAGTTAGGAAGGAAAAAAGGAAGGCAGGCAGGCAGGCTTCTTACGATAACATTGCAGGTATGTATGGTTTTATACACACACACACACACACACACACACACACACACACACACACACACACACACACACACACACACACACACACACACACACACACACACACACACACACACACACTCTCATATGAAGGCAAACTTAGGCAGTTTCTGTGTAGATATATCTTAAGAAATTGGTCTCAGCCAGGTGCTGGTGGATCACCGTTCAAAGCCAGCCCAGGTAGGAAAGTCTGTGAGACTCTTATCTCTAATAAACTGCTCAGAAAACTGGAAGTGGCACTGGGGCTCAAGTGGTAGAGTGCCTGCACTCTATCTGGGACAGCGCCCAGGCCCAGAGTTCAAGTCCCATGACCAACAAAAGAGAGAGAGAGAGAAAGAAAGAAATTGGTCTCTCAAAATGTAACATTGATTTTAAGTATAAATTGTTTATACTGGAAATTGATCCTTTTAATTTGTTGTTTCCAAAGTTCTTGAAAGATACAATTGAAAATGTATTTCAACTCACAGAGAATTGGAAATCATCATATGAAATAAAATAATGAAAATTTGTTTCAACAGGAAAATAATGAAACTGGCTTGGAGAATGTGATAAACAAAGTGGCCATATTTAAGTAAGTGCTTAATGTTTATTCTTTTTTTTTTTTTTTTTTTTTGGGGGGGGGGGGGTCCGGTCGTGGGGCCTGAACTCTGGGCCTGGGTGCTGTCCCTCAGCTCTTCAGCTCAAGGCTAGCACTCTACCACTTGAGCTACAGTGCCACTTCCGGCTTTTTTCTTATGTGGTGCTGAGGAATCGAACCCAGGGCCTCGAGCATGCAAGGCAAGTGCTCTACCACTGAGCCACCTTCCCAACCCTTAATGTTTATTCTTATTCTAAGAAGTAGACTGGTCTTTATTCTTACAAAATGTAAATAAGGTATTAGTTGCCTTGGACATGGTAACATATGCCTGTACGTCATTTCCCTACTTGGGAAGTGGAAATTGAGAGAATCCCAGTTTGAGAATGGCCCCAGCAAAATGTAAGCAAGATCCAGTCTCAACAAGTAAGCCAGATGAGGTGTTGTACATCTGTAGTCCCAACTACTTGGGGTGGTAGTGGTCGGAGGATTGCAGTTTGAGACTTGCCCTGGGCAAAAATATGCAATCCTGTCTGAGAAAGAACTAAAGCAGAAGAGGACTGGGTACACGGCTAAAGTGGTGGAGTGACTGCTTGGCAGTGCACAGCTCTAAGTTCAAATACTCATACTGCCAAACGTGAATTAAGAAACAATATTACTTGCATTTAAAAACTGATACCAATAAGTGTATTTCTACCTCTTATAGTTTGTATTTATAGATAATTTCTAGCTTCAAATAAATTATAAAAGAGGATGTGGGGTTTTTTTGTATGTTATAATAATACTTAGTGATATATTTTATTTATATTTGACTTAATAATTGGACAGAAACCTAGGGCTGTCTAATGTTCAGGGCAGATACAGTGTACTACTGTTATTAGAACTCTTTCTTACAGCACTATACAGAGGATTTCATACCACATTTCCATCTATAACTTGATAATGACACGATGCCTTCTTACCATTTTAGAGTTGATCTTTAACAATGTAGAATGCTGTAATGTCACAGACCACCTGTAGGTGTCAGAGGCAATACAAAAAGTATGGAATTTAAGTAGGACATGAGATCATACTAAACAAGCTTCCTGGTGTAGAGCTTACTGTTGTCAGGACTTTGCATTCACAATATAGGTTTTTATCATTTCCATTTTTAAAAAGCCTAATGAGATGATTTCTTAAATAGCTTGTTAAATTTTAGATTAATTTTTAGATTCTTATTTTGTCTGTTTCCTATTGAACAAGATCACTGCAGTTCATCTCTGTATTTTCCATCTACTGTAGAAAACCAGGCGTATCAGGCCATGGAGTTTATGAACTGAAAGAAGAATCATTGAAAGACTTCAACATGTACTTTTATCATTACTCCAAAACACAACATAGCAAGGTAGGAAAAAGTACCTCTTCAGTAAATAAGCCTAAAATCTTTTATATTTTCTATATCTATAGAAAGGTCCCTGATTTTTATGGTTCTCATTAATGGAGAGTGTCAGCATACCTAAAAAGTTAAAATTAATTGAATTAAAAATTTCCTGACTATACAAAAATGACCTTTATAGCTATCTGGCAAAAGGAGGATTAGATAAAGTATGATAGGTTTCTTGATCACACATTTCATTTCATTATCATATTTCTTTAGTCTTCTTTAATTTTTTTTTATAACATTGGCTCTTCTACAGAACAAAGGCTAACTGTTCCTTTCAAACAGCCTTTGTCTTGCTTCAGACTGGTTGCATTCTAATAACAAGAGTTGCAAAACATTTTCTGGAAAGAATACACACAGTCGATATATAACATCACATCAGTATACACACATTCTCTCTTGACCTCATGAAGGGTGATACTGAGTTTAATCAGTTAAAGGGATATTTGATTTTGTCTTTATGAATAAGTTACAAATAGAAGAAAGAAAGGCATTCTTTTTCTCTCCTTCCCGGCTGCCATGATGTGAGCTGCTCTGCCTCACTTTGGTCCCCCTCCCCCGAACATGATGGACTGAAGCCTTTGAAACTGTGAGCTAAGATGATTACATAATTATCCCCTCTCAGATGTTTGTCAGGCATTTACTCACACTTTTGGTTGCAAAAGTCTTGACTGACACAGAACTGTTTGCATGATTTTTTCATGATTTTTCTATTCTAAAAAAGTGTTTTTTTCTTAAAAAAGAAAAGGTATTTTATAGTTTGTATAACATTGCATACTTCCGGAGCTGGGAAGGTGGCTCAGTGGTAGAGTGCTTGCCTTGCATGCCTGAGGCCCTGGGTTTGATTCCTCAGCACCACATAAGCAAAAAGAAAAAAGCGGGAAGTGGCCCTGTGGCTCAAGTGGTAGAGTGCTAGCCTTGAGCTGAAGAGCTGAGGGACAGCACCCAGGCCCAGAGTTCAGGCCCCACGACCGGACCAAAAAAAAAAAAACCAAAAACCAAAAAAACATTGCATACTTCCTTGCTCAGAAGAGGAAGTAGGGAATTTTTAAAATTTAATTCATTTATTTTTTCTCAGGGCTAGGCTCTGTCCTTGAGCGTCTTTGTACTCAAGGCTAGCACTCTACCACTTGAACCACAGCACCACTTCTTAGTTTACTAGAGATAAGAGTTTCATGGACTTTTCTGCCTGGGCTGGCTTTGAACTGTAGTCCTCAGATCTCAGCCTCCTGAGTAGCTAGGATTACAGGAGTGAGTCACCAGCACCCAGCTTAAGTAAATGTTTTTAAATGAAAATATGGGGATTAAGTTCTTGATGAAAACCATTGCCCATCTGTAAAGCTTGTGTCCTTTGTGAAGATAGATGTTTGGTTTCAGGACAAAAATGTCCCTAGAAATGTATTCATATTTTGAGTACATTTAAAAGGCAGAGAAAAAAAAATCACTATTTAAAATATCTTAGTAAGTAGGTAGGTCTTTCCTATTTTATTTCAAAAAGTATTCATTTGTGTTGTATTAGCTAAGCAGTGTATTTAATGATAGTTTTTTATTTGGTTAATAGGCCGAGCACATGCAGAAGAAAAGGAGAAAACAAGAAAATAAAGATGAAGGTAAAAAAAAGAGATTCTAAACTGACTCATTTGACTTTTTTGTGGGTATTGTTTTTGTTCTTTTGGGGAGTGGGCAGCTAAAGGAAGTACAAAGAGCCTTTTGCATTTTGTTTTATATTAAGATATGGCCAACATGAACGATGATAGAATTTTAAATTGTTAGCAAATGGAACTTCTTTTTGGAGACTGACATTGTCACTTACAGCGCCCTTGACACTGAAATTTTAATGTTCCGAAGGTAGAAAAGACATGTTATTTTGCATACGAATACTTATTTTCATCTGTAGCATGATCTGTCCCTCTTCCCGTTAATCCCTGTCTCTACAGCATTGCCACCACCACCACCTCCTGAGTTCTGCCCTGCTTTCAGCAAAGTCGTCAACCTTCTCAACTGTGATATTATGATGTACATACTCAGAACCATATTTGAGCGGGCAATCAACACAGAATCTAACTTGTGGACAGAAGGGATGCTCCAAATGGTATGCTGACCTGAAATACTTTTTCTGTGTCAAGTCCTAGATTTCTTAGGGAATCTGGAAAAGATCCCTGGTTTAAGCCAGGTGCCATTGCTCACACCTGTAATCCTAGCTACCAGGTGGCTGAGATGTGAGGATCATTGTTCAAAGCCAGCCCAAACAAGAAAGTTTATAAGACTCTTAATCTCCAATTAATCAGAAAAAAACCCCAAAAAACCCAGAAGTGGTGCTGTGGCTCAAAGTGGTTGAGCAAAAGAGCCCAGAGACAGGACCCAGGTCAAAGATTAAGTCCTAGAACCGACAATTTAAAAAAAGTCTTCATCTGTCATTGTATATTTTCCAGGATGGGAAAGTGGCTCAGTAGAGCGCTTGCCTTGCATCCATGAGGCCCTGGGTTTGATTCCTTAGCACCATATAAGCAGAAAAAGCTGGAAGAATGCTAGCCTTGAGCTGTAGAGCTGAGGGACAGTACTCAGACCAAGAGTTCAGGCCCCGTGACTGACACACAGACACACACACACAAAGTATTTTCCTAGCATGTTGTTGTTTTGTTTCTGTTTTTGTTTTGGGGACACAATCTTATTTTTTATTTTTATTTTTTTTGGGCAGTCATAGGGCTTAAACTCTGGGCCTGGGTGCTGTCCCTCAGCTCTTCAGCTCAAGGCTAGCGCTCTACCACTTGAGCCACAGCACCACTTCTGGTTTTCTAGTGGTATACTGGATATAAGAGTCTCACAGAGTTTCCTGCCCAGGCTGACTTTGATCTCAGCCTCCTGAGTAGCTAGGATTACATGTGTGAGCCATCCGTGCCCTGCTGGGGACACAATCTTGATATGTAGCATAGACTGACCTTGGGCTCTGGATCCTTCTGTCTCAGTCTCCTAACTGCTAGGAGATTACAGGATACAACACTACAACCTATGATTTTTTTTTTCTGTGTGTATATTTTGTTTCTTTGTTGGTTTGGATTTTTCACATCAGGTTGCTTATTTTTAGTACCTCCAAATTTAAAATATCCCTGTTTGAATAAATATAACTTTAGGAGCTGGGAAGGTGGCTCAGTGGTAGAGCGCTTGCCTTGCATGCACGAGGCCCTGGGTTTGATTCCTCAGCACCACATAAGAAAAAAGCCAGAAGTGGCGCTGTGGCTCAAGTGGTAGAGTGTTAGCCTTGAGCTGAACAGCTGAGGGACAGTGCCTAGGCCCAGAGTTCAGGCCCCATGACCAGACCAAAAAAAAAAAAATATATATATATATATATATACACATATATATGATATTATATATATATTTATACATAATATATATGTTTTATATATATAATATATGTATATTATATATATATAACTTTAAAGATCTTTTCCTTTTCTTCTAGGCATTCCATCTTCTGGCATTAGGCTTACTAGAAGAGGAGCAGCAGCTTCAAAAAGCTCCTGAAGAAGAAGTGACATTTGACTTTTATCATAAAGCTTCAAGTAGGTTTGAATGTCATTTATCAACAGTGTAATAGAAAGTTTAGGTCTTAAACAGTTTTAAGATATTAGTTGAAACTTAGAAAACTGTGAAATTGTCCAGGAGCTGGTGGCTGATGCCTGTAATAATCGTAGCTACTCAGGAGGCTGAGATCTAACGACCGTAGTTCAAACCCAGCCAAGGCAGGAAAGTCCATGGGCCTTTTTTTTTTCCCCAGTCCTGGGGCTTGAATTCAGGGCATGGGCACTGTGCCTGAGCTTCTTTTGCTCAAGGCTAGCGCTCTACCACTTGAGCCACAGTGCCATGTCTGGCTTTTTCTGTTTAAGTGGTACTGAGGAATTGGACCCAGGGCTTCATGCATGCTAGGCAAGCACTCTACCACTAAGCCACATTCCCAGCCCTCCAGGGATTATTTTGTATGTATGTTTCACTTATTACTATTTTGGTAGTACTCAGGGCTCTCATGCTTGCTAGGCAAGTATTCTAGGACTTAAACCATTTCCCCAGAGATTTTTTTGCTTTAATTATTTTGTAGATTTTTGCCATTGCCAATCTGGACCCATACATCTGAGATGTCAGGTGCCATGCTATTGGTTGAAATGTGGTTTAGATAGCTCTTTGCTTATTCTAATCCTTTTTTTTTTAATTTAAATTTTATTGTCAAGGTGATATGCATAAATACATTTCTTGTTGAACTTGTTACCCTACTTCATTTTTCTCCCACCTTTCTTCCCCCTCCCAACCTTCCCCCAGCCTAGTTTTTTTTTTTTTTTTGTCTGTTGTAGGGCTTGAATTCTGGGCCTGAGCGCTGTCCCTCAGCTCTTCAGCTCAAGCCTAGGGCTCTACTACTTGAACCACAGTGTCACTTTTGGTTTTATGAGTGGTTTATTAGAGATAAGAATCTCGGGAAGGTGGCTCAGTGGTAGAGAGCTTGCCTTGCATGCATGAGGCCCTGGGTTCGATTCCTCAGCACCACATAAGCAAAAAGAAGAATCTCATGGGGCCAGGTGCCGGTGGCTCATGCCTAGCTACTCAGGAGGCTGTGATCTGAGGATCGAGGTTCAAAGCCAGCCCAGGCATGAAAAGTCCGTGAGACTCTTATCTCCAATAAACCACTAGAAAACCGGAATTGACACTATAGCTCAAGTGGTAGAGCGCTCACCTCGAGCTGAAGAGCTGAGGGACAGCGCCCAGGCCCAGAGTTCAAGCCCTGTGACCGACAAAAAAAAAAAAAAAAAAAAAAGAACTTCATGGACTTTCCTGCCTGGGGTGGCTTTGAACCCCAATCTTCAGATCTCAGCATCCTCAGTAGCTAGGATTATAGGCGCAAACTACATGCACCAGCACCCCAGCCTAGTCTTAAAAACTGTATTCTTCCCTCTTTCTGCCTCCTAGGTAGCTGTGATTATATACATGAACCATGATGTTAAGTTTTTCACCAGTATTTTCAAGGATACTAAAACATTTTTTAAGTTCCTATTGTGAAATTTTTACTGCATGACCTCCCTCCTTGCTATTTCTTTGTGTAGGGGGATGAGGGAAAAGTCTATTTGAGTGCTATTTCATTTTGTACTGTTTCTATTTGGAAAAAGAAGGTAACTTAGATTTAATTTCTGTTAAATTCTATGTTTCAGACAGTTGGTTTGAAACACATTCCAGAAGACATTGGTTGTAAAACCAACAGTTACCAAAAATACTTTATACTTTATTGTTTAGATCTTTGAAGACATCATAAGCCTACTTAGTTTATGAATATAACTTTCCCTCTTAAATAATTTTGTAGTTGTTTTTTTTGTCCAGTGGTGGGTCTGAACTCTGGGCCTGGGTGCTGTCCCTCAGCTCTTTACCTCAAGGCTAGTGCTCTACCACTTGAGCCACAGCGCCACTTCCAGCTTTTTTTTTTTTTTTTTTCTGCTTATGCGGGGCTGAGGAATGAAACCCAGGGCCTCATGCATGCAAGGCAAGCGCTCTACCACTGAGCCACCTTCCCTACCCTATAGTTTTTCTTAGTGAATACTTTGTTTTGACAGTGAGTCAGATAGAGGAAGGATGAGAGGCTATATTTTTATTATTTAGGGTATACTTTGCTTAGAGTGCCAATGGATGATGTAGGAAGATGCTTAAAATAATTCAAGCTTTTCTCATTTAAGCTTTTTTTTTTTTTTTTTGGTGCCAGTCCTAGGGCTTGAACTATGGGCTTGGGCGCTGTCCCTGAGCTTTTGTGCTCAAGGCAAGCACTCTACCAGTGTCACTTCTGGCTTTTTGTGGTCAATTGGAGATAAGAGTCTCATAGACTTTTTCTGCCCATGCTGGTTTCAAACTGTGATCCTCAGCTTTCATTCTCCTGAGTAGCTAGAATTATAGGTGTGAGCAACTGGTGCCCGATTCATTTAATATGTTGGTTTTTTTTAGTTTTGTATTTAATACCTTATATACTGTAACTCAATACTTCAGGTAATTGCCGATTGTCTCATTGAGAAATGAAGGTGGCTGGGTGCCGGTAGTTCACGCCTGTAATCCTAGCTACTCAGGAGGCTGAGATCTGAGGATCGTGGTCAAAGCCAACTGGGACAAGAATGTCCGTGAGACTCTTATTCCCAATAAACCACCAGAAAACCGGAAGTAGCGCTGAGGCTCAAGTGGTAGAGCGCTAGCCTTGAGCTGAAGAACTGAGCAGCACCCACGCCCAGAATTCAAGCCCCACAACTGACAAAAAGAAAAAAAAAAAAAAGAAGATGGCTAAGGGAATAATGAACAAACCTCTATCAGAGTGAACAACATTAATCAGGAATAATAATTTGCACATAATTATGAGGATGCTGATTTCTTATATGTAATTTTGTGTATTATAAAAGGATTGGGAAGTTCAGCCTTGAATGCTCAGAATGTACAAATGCTTTTGGAAAAGCTCAAAGGAATACCCCAGCTGGAAGGTCAGAAGGACATGATAACATGGATACTCCAGGTAAATGAGAGCAGTAAAATATCAAATCTTGGTTTAAATATAGTTAAGTGCCCCCTAAAATGGTTAATTCTGATAAAGGTGTGTTAAGTGATATGTCTATGTGAGTACCACAGAGTGTACTTACACAGCTTAGATAGCTTGTCAGTGTGGACACTTGATGAAGTCAGATTCAGTAAGCATGATATTTAAGAGACAGACACTGGTATACTGAAGAGTGCTGTTATACAGTGAACTTCCTTTTATAGTAAGTAGGAAGAGTATATATACTCTCAGTGTCAAAAAGTATTGTAAAGGAACTGAGGGGATAGATTAGCATTTATGAGGCCCTGGGGTTCAGTCCCTAGTACCACAAATAAATTTTCTTTTAACAAGTATAATGTGCTGGGTGCTGGTGGTTCACACCTGTAATCATAGCCACTCAGGAGGCTGAGATCTGCAGATCACAGTTGAAAGCCAGCTCGGGCAGAAAAGTCTGTGAAACTCTTATCTCCAATAAAAACCGCCAGAAAACCGGAAGTGGCACTGTGGCTCAAGTGGTAGAGCACAGAGCTAAGGGACAGCGCTCAGGCCCAGTAGTTCAAGCCCCACGACCGACAAAAAAAAAAAAAAGTATAATGTATGGCTGGGAAGTTGGCTCAGTGGTAGAGTGCTTGCATGCATGAGGCCCTGGGTTCAATTCCTCAGCACCACATAAGCAGAAAAAAGCTGGAAGTGGCGCTGTGGCTCAAGTGGTAGAGCGCTAGCCTTGAGTTGAAGAGCTGAGGGACAGTGCCCAGGCCCAGGGTTCAGCCCCCATGACTGACAAAAATAAAAAAATGAAGAAGTATAATGCAATAAGCACATAAAGAAGTCACAGTCATTATTAAGTATTTTTAAGTGCTATATTATTAATTAGTGCATATTGGTGTGCATTGTTCACAAGAAAGGTTTCATTGTGACATTTCCATACAAGTGCACAATGAATCTCAATCAACCTTGCTCTCTGTCTTGTAATACCCTTCCCTCCTCCCTTCTTAAAACAGTTTCAACAGGTTTCATTGTTCTCTTTTCATCTGTGCAAATAAAGGAATCTAAATCTATTCATCCTCATTTGTCCCCCTTGTTTGCCCAATGAGCGTGTTATAATTTTTACATAATATCACTAGGAGTTTTCAGCCTCATTATAATTTTTTTTTAATTTTTTGATGGTACTGAGATTTGTTCTCAGACTCTTGTTTGCTGGGCAATTGTTCTACCACTTGAGCCACACACCTAGCCTGATTTGCTGAGTTGTTTTTCAGATAAGGTGTTGTATTGGCCCAGGCTGACTGCAGACTTCAGTCCTCCTACCTATGGCCAGTATGTTCATCTCCATGTCCAGCTATTTGTTGAGATGGGGGTGGGCATCTCCACCTTTTCACTTGGTCTTATTTCAAGTCATTTCTGCCTCCTGAGTAGCTGAGCTTGTAAGTGTGAGCCACCAACCCACCCCCTCATAATAGTTTAATGAGAACCACTATCGTATATGCTCCCCATGATTGAAATGTCACTCTTCTGAAAGTGACTGTAAGAATCCTCTATTAAGCTCTAAAATTCAACCACTATATTATTTAACTGTCTTTATTATTATTGCACATGTTTGTTTCATGTCAGTAGCTTTATTTGTCTTTTTTGTCTTAGTAGAATTTATTGAATAATGGAAGATTTATTAATTTTTTCAATATTTAGTCAACATGTACTGTATTCCTTCCATTTGCCATGTTTAATTGTGGACTCTAAACCAGACAGGCAAAGTATTTGCTGACATGGGACATAGCTGAGGTATAGACAGTGAAAAATGCAAATAGGAAAAAATATCAAAATAATACAGTAGAACAATAAAGGGTTACTTTGTGTGGCCAGCAGAGGCCTTACTCAGAGGGTGATGTTCAAGGTGAGACCTGAGTAGTGTGGAGTCAGTATTGTTGGAATCTGCAAGGTGCTCCAGGAAGTGGGACCAGCAGTGAAAACCTAAGGGGGCCTCTTAAGAAGGTAGCCAGTGTAGGGGCTGGGAAGGTGGCTCAGTGGTAGAGTGCTTGCCTTGCATGCCTGAGGCCCTGGGTTCGATTCCCCAGCACCACATAAGCAACAAGAAAAAAGCCGGAAGTGGCGCTGTGGCTCAAGTGATAGAGCGTTAGCCTTGAGCTGAAGAGCTGAGGGACAGCGCCCAGGCCCAGAGTTCAGGCCCCATGACCGGACCCCCCCAAAAAAAAAAAAAGAAAAGAAAAGAAAAAAAGAAGGTGGCCAGTGTGAACAGGAGAGAAAGCTCAGAAGTAGGTTGGAAGGGCAACCAAGAAAGAAAAGAAATATTGATAACTGGTGGTTTAGTCATTGCTTTTGGGGACAAAGACCTCAACCAAGAAAGGATGTTTTACTTTCCAGTTTTGATTTGTGCCTTATACATTTTTGCGCTGAAAACATTTGAATTGGAACATGGTATACACCTGTAATCCCAATTCAGAAGGCTGAAGTGAAGGATCACTGGAGTTCAGGATATGGAGACCTTAGCAGGAACATGTTAAAGAGGTTTCCTGGGCTGGGAAGGTGGCTTAGTGGTAGTTTTGCCTTGCGTGCATGAGGCCCAGGGTTCTATTCCTCAGCACCACATAAACAGAAAAAGCTGGAAGTGGTGCTGTGGCTCAAGTGGTAGAGCGCTAGCCTTGAGCTGAAGAACTAAGGGTCAGCCCCCAGGACCAGAGTTCAAGCCCCACGACCAAAAAAAAAAAAAGTTTCCCTCCCCACCCATTCCCCTGTGGCCATCTGAGGGAAGGCTAATCATAGTAACAGACTACTCAGCGCTTTTGTTAGCTGATTGTTGGTCAGAACCAAGAGAGTTGTTAGTTGCAGTCTGATTTTCCCCCGATATATTGAAGTCATCTAGGAAATGGCATTTTGAGACACAGTGATTAAATCAGATTAGTGAGTCTTTGTCTTCCTGCTCACACCAACCACATCTTTTTTTTTTTTTTGGTCTGTTGGGGCTTGAACTCTGGGCCTGGGCGCTATCCCTGAGCTCTTCAGCTCAAGGCTAGCATTCTACCACTTGCCACTGATACCAACCAGATCTTTAACTATTTCTATGATTTTTTTTTCCCCACAGATGTTTGACACAGTGAAGCGACTGAGAGAAAAATCTTGTTTAATGGTAGCAACTACTTCAGGATTTGACTCCAGTAAGAATGACGAGGTAATAACACTATGGTGCTGTTTACGTTCATCTGTCTTTGGCAAACCTTTCAGAATCTTACTGGAAGGAACGTTAGCAACTGAACAGAGAATAGGTTGAGAAATACGAATCCAACAGTCCAAAACCAAAAATTTTGGAGCCTTTTGAATTTTAGAGTTTTAGCTTAAAATTACTGGTAAAGTCTGTGCATATATTCTCAAGTCCAAGAAATCTCAGAGATTTCTATTCCTGACCATGTCAGATAAGGAATACTTGTCTTATATATTGTTCATTTATTTATTTAATTTATTTATTTATTGTTCGTCATGGGGCTTGAACTCTGGGCCTGGGCGCTGTCCTTCAGCTCTTCAGCTCAAGGCAAGTGCTCTACCACTTGAGCCACAGCACCACTTCCGGTTTTCTGAGTGGTTTATTGGAGATAAGAGTCTCATGGAGTTTCTTGCCTCGGCTGGATTTGAACCATGATCCTCAGATCTCAGCCTCCTGAGTAGGTAGGATTACAGGCGTGAGCCACTGGTACCCGGCTTATATATGGTTTAACAGTGGTTTCTTAATGTTCAGATTACTCAGGATAAAGAAAAAGCAGAACGAAAAAGAAAAGCCGAAGCTGCTAGGCTACACCGCCAAAAGATCATGGCTCAGATGTCTGCCTTACAGAAAAACTTTATCGAAACTCACAAACTAATGTATGACAATACATCAGAAATACCTGGGAAGGAAGACTCCATTATGGAAGAAGAAAGGTAAAACAAAACAAAACAAAAAACAGCTTGACTTTTGGAGGGAAGATTATTCACCTTGAATCAGGCTTTTCCAAAATGCATTTTATACTAATGGACATGAAGGTGGGAGCAGCAAAAATGGAAATCAGTTCATGTCATTTTAAATGCATGTGCATTTTAGACGCGTATTTACGCAGTTCACAAATTCCCCATCAGGTTTATGATTTTTGAGAAAAATGACTATAATTGTTGCAAACTGATAACCAGTTCATCCCCTGAGGAATATGGTTTATGCTAGTGTTTCTTCTTTCTTAAAGAGACGTCAGTGTTTATGAGTATAGTCGTGAATGGTGCGTCAAAAGGGGAAAATGCTAAATTTGTTTTTTTGCACCTCAGTATAGTGTGCTTATAGGGAAGTTGGTGAACCTTGTAAGCCATGCTCTGTGAACCATTATATAAGTGCAGGGAGCCAAGGGAAGAAGAAAAAGAGCAGTACTTGGAGATAAATCCCAAGAAGTTTAAAATACTGAAAATATTCCCTTATTCTCATTTAAAAAAACAAACTTCTGCCAGGCACTGGTGGCTCATGCTTGTAATCCTAGCTACTCAGGAGGCTGAGATCTGAGGATCATGGTTCAAAGCCCTCTTGGGCAGGAAAGTTCATGAGACTTTTACCAGAAGTGGCACTGTGGCCCTAGTGGTAGAGCGGCTAGCCTTGAACTGAAAAGCTGAGGGACAGCACCCAGTCCCAGAGTTCAAGCTCCACGACCAAAAAAACAAACTACTGTTATTTAAGCCAGAATTATGAAGCTGTGTGAGGCAATGCATGCTTATAATCCCAACCCTGGATCAGAGGCAAGATTGCAAGTTCAAGGCCAGTGTGGGATACATAGTGATACTTTCTTTCCAACAAAACAAAAGAGACAATAATTTCAGACATTGTCTTTTTACATTGTATTCCATGTCATATATCTGTATTCCTGAAATTGAGAGTGCTAGCATGGACCATAATGAAGACTATTTTAAAATTAAAAATCAAAAGAGCCAAACATAGTGGTGAACACCTATAATCCCAGGTTTATAGGTGAGAAGGTAAGGCAGGAAGCCAGCCTGGGCTTTAGCAAGATCCTATTATGTAAAAAGAAAACAATTAAGATAAATAAAAAGAAGTCTGCGGATGCTGTTCAGTAGAAGTGCTTGTCTGCCATGTTCAAGGCAACTGTAACTAGCAAATTAATTAATTGCCGAATGTGTCTTGTACTAATGTGTCTCATTCCAAACAATAGAAATAATGCAGTAAGTTCCCTTTGATAGTCTTCTACCATTCCTGATGCTTATATATAGATAGCCTTGCTTATAAATGGCCATTGTTGTAGACCTTTCTCCATGCATTTATAGATATGTGTGCATAAATAAAATAGATACTCTGATAGCGTAATCCTCTGATTTCTCCTTCTGGAGGACAGATTAGAACATGGCTTGAACTTACATGACAGGTGATTGACATCTCTGCGTAAGCAGAACTTAGCAATACTTTACTTCTATTCTGCCTTTAAAAAGGGAAAAAAGAGGGCTGGGAATGTGGTTTAGAGGTAGAGTGCTTGCCTAGTATGTATGAAGCCCTGGGTTCAATTCCTCAGTACCACATAAACAGAAAAAGTTGGAAGTGGCTCTGTGGCTCAAGTGATAGAATGCTTGCTAGTCTTGAGCCAAAAAAAGCTCTGGGACAGTGCCCAAGCACTGAGTTTAAGCTACATGACTGGCCAAAAAAAGAAAAAAAAAGGAGGGTGCGGATTAGACCCAAAAAATGAGGTTTCTTTTATTTATTAGTGGTTTGTTTTTATTTTATTGTACATTTTGGTCTACAGCTTACTTTACGTATGTTTTTTTTTTAAATCATATTCAGGACACTTAGGTTATTTCTTATTTTCCCTTATTAGTTTGTTGGAGCACTTTTGTATGTGAAAGCAGTTTCCCAATTAGAATACAACATGTGAAAAGTGTGAGTCAAAAATATTAATAAATATGGCTACACTGTCCTTCAGAATAGCTTTTCCAGTTGCTGCTGCCAACAGTGTTGGAGCTTACCTATCTACGTCATTCATACCAATACTTAATTGTTCGTACTTGATAATACTTGATGCTAAAATTGAAATATAGCTTAGCAGTAGTCCATTTGCTTACAGTGTACACTCAATCCTCAGCACCACGAATAGAAAGATAAAATAAAAGTTCTAATGTAACTTGTTTTGCTAGTTAATGTAAGTATGAGCATCTTTTCCTGTGATCTCATAATGATGAGGTTTAGCAATAGTTTTGAATATTGTTAATGTTGTGTGTTTGTGTGTCTTGTTTAGGCCTTTCCTATCCCAAAGTCACAATTTTAATTATAGGGGCTATAGTAAATATTAGAGATGCAGGGATCCAAATTTTGTATCCTTTTTTTTTTCCCTCAAAGTTCCTCTGGTTACAAGTTTTATAAATACTTGTTGGAATTTTTACTGTGATATCACATACAAATATGCGCATATAATATTTTCCAGCTTTTGCCTTATTTGCACAAATGGTATGATGTACATACTATCTTGCAACTTCCCATTCTAAGTCATCTTGGGAAATCTGTGTTCTTCAATAATAAGCGAGTTCAGTGTTTGTGAGTACTGGCATTTGGGCATGACAGGTGCGCACCACTGCTCCCAGTTCTTGTGCTCCCACTTAGTTTGTGGATGACAGGTGTGTGCTCAGCTATTAGTCAAGATGGAATCTCAGGACCCAGCTGGCTTTGAACCTCTCTACCTTCCAAATACTTAGGGCTACAGGCATGAGCCTCTTCTAGCTGTGATTTCTTCTTCTTCTTCTTCTTCTTTTTTTTTTTTTTTGCAGCACAAACAGTTTTCTAGTGAGAAAATTGATTAAAGCTAGAAAGGGAAATGCTTTTATGGTAATAATATTATTGTTTTAATTTTTGTTATTTTTGTTTATATAAAAATCTACAAAGATACAAAGTCAAGTGGCCAAAATGTACTTATTCCTTTTTAAAAACAAACAACTGTTCTTATCTTTAGTAGCTTTACAAAGGAGATGCCATTTAACAAAGCATTTTAGACTATAATGCAGCTTGATCGGTGTCATCCCTTCAACATTCTCTCCCTTTTTTTAGTTTTATGGTATATAGTGAATTCTTAACTGCGTTCTCCCCCTCGTCCCCACTTCATACGTTTTTCTTCTCCTCTCCCTGTGGTCCATCCCCGCCTCTTGCAAGGTTTTCTGGTGTTGATTTTGTTCTTTCCAAAAAAATTATACTTTTTGAACTCTCTATAGAGCCTATTATACTTCAGTTAGTTTGTAACCTCTTGTGTACTGCCCAACATGCTTACTTACAGATTTATGGCTATATTCTATCTACCACAAATGAAGGAGACCGTGCAACCTTTGTTTCTCTGGATCTGGCTTACTTCACTTAATATAATGGTAATTATATAATTATCATGAACATGTAATGATAAATTTTATAAATACAATACAATTGGTTTCTTTTGTCAGCATCCCAGCAGTCAGCGACTACTCTAGAATTTCTTTGGGTCCTAAACGGGGGCCAACTGTTACTGAAAAGGAGGTGCTGACATGCATCCTCTGCCAGGAAGAACAAGAGGTGAAAATAGAAAATAATGCTATGGTATTATCAGCCTGTGTCCAGAAATCCACTGCCTTGACCCAGCGCAGGGGAAAACCCCTAGACCTCTCAGTAGGTATGTATTCTTTCACATACATCTTTTTGGCCATTTCTTTTTCTTCCAATATAAGTGAAGAAAAAAATACTCCTTTTGAAAGAAATTTGGGAGTGAGGATGCATTTAGTCCTATTGGCAGATCCCATACTCACATGTAAAATAGACTTTGGGTTTTACATGCCAGGTTGGCTCCTCTATTCAGTTTTATTTTTCTTAGCATTTGACCACATTGCTTCTTCCCTCCCCTCTCTCCCCCATCTCCCTTCCCCACCCCTCCTCCTGTACTCTCCCCTCTCCCCCTTTCCACCCTCCTCCCCTCCTCCTCTCCATCTCTTATTTGTCTGTTTATTCTAAGTACTGTGGCCTGAACGCAGGTCCTCTTGTTCTCACCTAGCTTTTTCACTCACGTGTGGCATTCTACCACTTGAACCACAGCTGCATTTCTGGCCTTTTGCCTGTTATTTGGAGATAAGAGTCTCACAGATTTGTCTGCCTGGGCCAACTTCAAACCTCAATCCCTGGGTCTCAATCTTCTGAGTATCTAAGATTTGAAATATAAGCCACCAGCACCAGGCTTTATTGTTTATTCATTCATTCATTCAATCATTCATTCATTCATTTTTGTCAGTTGTGGGGCTTGAACTCAGCCTGAGTGCTATGCTTGAGCTTTTTCACTCAAGGCTAGCACTCTACCCTTTGACCCACAATACCACTTCAGCTTTTGTAGTGGTTAATTGGAGATAAGAATCTCATGCACTTTCCTGCCCCAGCTGGCTTCAAACCATGATCCTCAGATCTCATTCTTCTGAGTATCTGGGATTACAGGAATGGGCCACCAGTGCCAAGTTTACTTTATTTTTATTTTCTCTTTTTTTTTTTTTTTTTTTTTTGTTGGTCATGGGGCTTGAACTCTGGGCCTGGGCGCTGTCCCTCAGCTCTTCAGCTCAAGGTGGGCACTCTACCACTTGAGCTACAGCGCCACTTCCGGTTTTCTGGTGGTTTATTGGAGATAGGAGTCTCACGGTCTCTCCTGCCCGGGCTGGCTTTGAACCGTGATCCTCAGATCTCAGCCTCCTGAGTAGCTAGGATTACAGGCGTGAGCCCAGCGCCCGGCTTTATTTTTATTTTCTCTTATATTTTGTTCATTTTACTTTATCATTTGAAAGTAAATTGGGCTGGGCACTGGTAGCTTATGCCTATATTCCTAACTACTCAGGAAGCTGAGATCTAAGGATCACAATTCAAAGCCAGCCCAGGCAGAAAAATCCCCATGGGACTTTTATCTTCATTTAACCACTCAACTGATAGTAGAGATGTGGCTTAAAGTGATAGAGTACTAACTTTGAGCAAAAGAGCCCACGACTGATAAAAAAGAGTGGGCTGGGTGCTGATGGCTCATGCCTATAATCCTAGCTACTCGGGAGGTTAAGAACTCAGGATCGTGGTTCAAAGCCAGCCTAGGCAGGAAAGTCTGTGAGACTCTTTATCTCCAGTTAACCACCAGAAAACTGGAAATGGCACTATGGTTCAAAGTGGTAGAGCTCTAGCCTTCAGCACAAATTGCTCAGCAACAGTGCCCAAGCCCCAACTTCAAGCCCCACAACTGACAAAAAAAATAGTAAGTTGGAAATATTGTAATATTGTATAAAAAACGCTAAATATTACTGCATTCATTTTCTAAAACTAGGGCCAATCTTTTATATTGGTCATATCATTATCATATTTAAGGAACTTAATATCATCTAAAATATTTAAGAATAACATTTTATTAACTATACTTCCACAACTGTTCTGACATGATATTGTGATACTTGGACATTTCTAGGAAATGAAATTTTGTGATTACAATTTTTTACCTGTCTCCATGTCTACCTTTTTTTTAACTTTGGAAGAGATGAATATATACCTCTGTTCATTTTGTTTGTTTGTTTGTTTCTTCTTTCTGAACCAGAAACCATGGACCCACTCTTCATGGATCCAGACTTGGCCTATGGAACTTACACAGGAAGCTGTGGGCATGTCATGCATGCCGTGTGCTGGCAGAAGTAAGTTGTTCCACTGACATGTTCTTGAAAGACACTAGGAACTTTGAAGTTACCACAGGCCACAAAAAGGCATGTTTTCTCATGTCTTCTTTCCTTTGTTCTCTTAATAGAATATTTGAAACAGTTTTAAGGACTTAATTCTGTGCCTATGATACTAATTATTACAAGTCTTAGAAATTTATGCATAAAGTTAATTCAAGATACTAGTAACTCCAGAGCTTGGTAGCCTTACTACTGATAGTAAGATAACCCTTACCTCTGCACTGGAAACTAGGGAAATGGTCTCTTCCTTTATGTCTCCATAGTTACAGTTCAGTAAACTTCACTATAAACTGTATCTGCCATGACATAAACTGTTTTCCATAATTTTAACATGAATAATTTTGCACTTGAGTTCTAAAAATGTTTTTGGGGTCCAAAACTCCAAATCTTTGCACTTGGAAAAAAGCCACCATGTGGTTCTGAGCGGACCTGTGTCTTTGGGATTTTGCAGGTATTTTGAAGCTGTGCAGCTGAGCTCTCAGCAGCGCATTCATGTTGATCTTTTTGACTTGGAGAGTGGAGAATATCTTTGCCCTCTTTGCAAGTCTCTGTGCAATACTGTGATCCCTCTTATTCCCTTGCAACCTCAGAAGATAAACAGGTATGTTTTAGCTTATACATAGGTCAGTGTTTAAATGCCCATCGTTAACCTTTAGAGAAACTAGTGTACTTTTTCATTTCATAACTTTTAAAATTAGATTGAAAGCATAACATTTGGTCCTTAAGAAAACTAAAGTGGTCACACAAGTCACTTTGCCATGCCTAGATCTCTCATACACAATTAAAACAGTAGAACACTGAGGGTCCAAGTGCTAATGTCACTTGTTTTGAGACCTGTATGAAAATTAAAAAAAAAAAAATAAAACCACTATCATACCACCTTTGGTAACGTGTGAACATTTAGAGCTTTACTTTGTGTGTGTGCATGTGAATACTAGGATTTGAACTCAAGACCTTGAACTCTTGCTTGACTTCTTTTGCTCAAGGCTGGTGCTATACTACCTGAGCCACACCTCTACTTCTGGCTTTTTCTAGGTAATGAGAGATAAGATTTGTTTGCATAGATTGGCACTGAACAACGAGCCTCGGATCTCAGCCTCCTGAGTGGCTAAGATTTTGGATATAAGACACCTGCGCCTGTCTAGTGCTTTAAAAAATTTCATTCTGATTACCTATAAATAGAATATAACAACAAATTTGGGGTGTGTGTGTGCATGTGCATGTGTGTGTACTTACTGATCCTAAGTGCTATCTCTGAGCTTCTGTGCTCAAGGCTAGTGCTCTACCACTTTGAGCCACAGTGCCATTTTTGGCTTTTTGGTAGATAATTGGAGATTAGAGTCCCACAAACTTTCCTGCCTGGGCTAGCTTTGAACTGTGATTCTCAAATATCAGCCTCTTGAGTAGGCTTTTACAGGTACGAACCAGTGATGCTGGGCTCAGTGTTTTTTGTTTTTGTTTTAGATGACAACTAAAACTTTTTAATTATATATTTTCTGTATTTTTCTTCTAGTATGTGATGATAATAGTGCTATTTAAAATTGATCTTCAGTTTCTTTAACACATGGTGAACTTGTGGACTAGGAAGGTGGCTCAGTGGTAGAGTGTTTGCCCTGCATGCATGAGGCCCTGGGTTCAATTCCTCAGCACCACATAAGCAGAAAAACCCAGAAGTGGCTCTGTGGCTCATGTGGTAGAGTGCTAGCCTTGAGCTGAAGAGCTGAGGGACAGTACCCACGCCCAGAGACCCCACAACCAGCAAAAAAACAAAACAAAACAAAAAAACACGGTGAACTTGTATTAATAAACCTAAGTTCTGATAAAGGAAATGGTTTTGCTGATTTGACGAAAATGTATTTGACTGGTGATGTAGCTCAGTGGTAAGAGCACTTAACATGTATAGGTTCTGAGTTCAATCCTTCATACTATAAAAAAGCAGAGACAGACCCCTTATCAAAGTGATCAAACTTAAAAATTTGCTAGGAAAAATTTCAAAACCAGTATGCTAATATTTTTAAGTCATAGCTAGTTATAATTCTCACTTGAGAACCAAAACAATTTCTTAGGTCAGATTTGTGCCCATAGATACAGATTTATTGTGCATCGTTAATTTGCTTTTATGGGAAGGTTTTTCTTTTCAATAAAACAGAATCAGTTAGCCTTTTAAATGGCACTGGCTGGTTTTGGTCCCCTTCCTTTGGTCCTCAAGAGCTGTTTGGGTCAAGCCCCTGTCTTTCTGTAATGTTCATTGCCAGCCCCTCCTCCTCATAGTGAGAAACACTGTGGGGAAACAAAAAAGCAGCCAGGCAGCTATCTATCAATGAGCCCACGACACTATGTGTGGACAGAATTGTGAGGAAGCTCCTCTCTGGGATGGGAACGTTTGAGTGAAGACGCCAATAAAATGAGTGACAGTATCCCTGGAGGACGATACTGCACAGGCAATGTCAAGAGCAAAGGCACCAAGTTAGAAACCTAGGCACGTTCCAGTCACAGCAGGGAGGCTGCATGCCTGCAAGCAGATAGCCAGATTAGGAAGGGACTCATGAGCTAAATTGAGAAGTATGTGATGGAAAACCACTGCAATATTCCAACAAGAGAATATCTGACCTATAGTTTTAGAAGCTCCCTTTAATTGAGGTGTTTAAATTTGCACTTAATAATAAAATACAGGAATCGAAGCAGAAAGAGTAGTAAATAATTCCGTTCAGGGATTAGCGTAATAGTTAATTTAGGGTACATTATAAGGAATTGATTTAGAATATATTCATAAGGTAAAACCTGTAAAAGCAGCTAAGAGATAATAGTGTGAGAGAATCAAGAACTCAGTGACAATGCCTATTTCTGCTTTAAACAACTAGAATGTTATTTATGTTTACTTAGTATTAGTATTAGTACTTAGTATTCTGGGCAATAGATGTGTGGGGAGTGTCTTATTCCTTATACCTTTTTTTTTTTTTGGTCATGAGGCTTGAACTATGAGCCTGAAGGTCACCCCTGACCTTCAGTTGCTCAAGACTAGCACTCTACCACTTGAGCCACAGCACCACTTCTGCCTTTTCTGTTTATGTGGTAGTGAGTAATCAAACAGGGCTTCATGCTTGTTAGGCAAGCACTCTACCACTAAGCCTTCCTTATACTTTTAAAATCCTCTTTCTTCCCAAATAACTTCACCTTTAGGCACATGTTTCTTTGACTTTGATAATTAATCTGGAGGAATTTGATTTTGGTCATGGTGGTGGTGGTGATCATAGAGCTTGAACTCAAGGCCCAGGCACTGTCCCTGAGTTTTCGCACTTCAGGCTAGCCCTCTACCACAGCACCACTTCCAGTTTTCTGGTGGTTAATTGGAGAAGAGAGTCTCATGGACTTTCCTACCTAGGCTGGCTTCACACCATAATCCCCAGATCTCAACCTCCTAAGTAGCTAGGATTATAGGCATAAGCCACCAGCACCTAGCAGAATTTGTTTTGTTTTTGTTTTTGGGTCCGGTCCTGGGGCCTGAACTCTGGGTCTGGGTGCTGTCCCTCAGCTCTTCAGCTCAAGGATAGCACTCTACCACTTGTGCCACAGCGCCACTTCTGGCTTTTTTCTTTTTGCTTATGTGGTGCTGAGCAATCGAACCCAGGGCCTCATGCATGCAAGGCAAGCACTCTACCACTGAGCCACCTTCCCAGCCCCAGAATTTGGTATTTTTATGTAGCCACTTCCTCAAGGAAAGACTAGGAGTTCAGCTTTTCAAATCAACTTTGTTCTGATGATATTAATAATTTCTAAATTATGTGTTTTGTTTTTTTCCAGTGAAAATGCAGACGCTCTGGCTCAACTTTTGACCTTGGCACAGTGGATACAGACTGTTCTCGCCAGAATATCAGGTTATAATGTGAAACACACTAAAGGTTTGCTTGAATTTATTTTGTATTAGTTGTGTGCAAATTATGTCTGAATCTTTAATTTTTTAAAAAAAGGCAATTATGCTAAAAGAAGCACAGACTTGTTAGATATCAGGAAAAGGAAGTTTCTGAAGTCAAGACAAAGGTTGATTTATATCAGTGTCCTCAGTTCAGTCATTTTTCTTACTGAGAGGCAGAAGAGGTAGGCAATTATTCTGGAGTCATTCTGCCTGACTTTGAATCTTAGATCCAAAAATCCATCTCACTCAGTAAGGATCACTACTGGGTCTGTGATCTTGGGTCAGTTACTTTAGCTCATTGCCACCTCAACTATCATATCTACAATTAGGCAATACTGGGTCTGTGATCTTGGGTCAGTTACTTCAGCTCATTGCCACCTCAACTGTCATATCTACAATTAGGCAATAGTAATGTCAGTACCTTTTTCATTGCTTGAAGAATTGGATTATTACGTATAGAGTAGAATAGTCCCTGGCTCCTAGAGCTATATGTGTTAGCCATTACTAATACTGATATTATTGGTATATTACCATTAATACTAATAACAGAAAAATTTTAAAACTATTACCTTGTCTGGAGTAGTAGTGTGTGCCTGTAATCCTACCTACTCAGGAGGCTAAGGTGAGGAGGATCAAGATTCCAGGCAGTCCACACAAAATGTTCTTGAAACTCAGTTGAAGAAATTAGATGCTATGTTATTCTGGTTACCAGATAGGAGGATCACAGTCCAGTCCAAGGTCTGGGCAGAAAAGCAAAGTCCTGTCTCAAAATAACTAACACAAAGAGGGCTAAAGGCTTGGTGCAGTGCCTGCCTAGCAATGCAAGACCCTAAGTTCCAACCCTAATACTAGACAAGCACTTAAATCTACTGCCTTATTTGCATGTTCCTTGCAATTTAGAGACTAGTTATTAGTAGAGATATGCTTGGGAAAGAAAAAGGACATTTACAATATTTAGTGTTAAGTATTTAGAAAAGTATCTCACTTTACTAGGTTGTGAATAAATGGGATAAAAAAGAATCCAGCTGATTTTTTTTTTTTTTTGTCGGTCGTGGGACTTGAACTCTGAGCTTGGATGCTGTCCCTGCACCCTTCAGCTCAAGGCTAGCGCTCTACCACATGAGCCACAGAGCCACTTCTGACTTTATTCTGCTTATGTGGTGCTGAGGAATCGAACCCAGGGCCTCAGGCATGCAAGGCAAGCGCTCTGCCACTGAGCCACCTTCTCAGCCCCCAGTTGAAATTTTTTTTTTTTTTTTTCGGTCGTGGGGCTTGAACTCTGGCCTGGGCGTTGTCCCTCAGCTCTTCAACTCAAGGCGAGCGCTCTACCACTTGAGCTACAGCGCCACTTCCTTGAAATTTTTTTTAACCCATCTTGCTCTGCTGTCAAGATTGGCCTTGTACCTGGGGGTATAGTGGTCCTTCCACCATGACCTTAGTGGCTGGCACAACAGGCTGCGCTTACATGTCCTGCTTAAAAGTTTACTCCAGTCTCATTCCTTCCTTAGATCTAAAATTGATGACTAGTTCACCTAGAAAATATTTCAGAACATTTCTAGGTATCATCAGATTATTTATGTTTTATTTCTTTCATCTTTCCCTTCTTTTATTTGTCCCAGCATTCCCCATCTATTTCACCTTCTGTAATGCTGAGTGTTTAATCAGATGCTCATTACTGTATAAGCCTTGATCTTACCTCCCTATAGAACAGATATGTACCTTAATGCAGAAAGAAGGAATTAGATCTGTTTAATAGAATTTAAAGCCAAAGGGGCTGGGAAGGTGGCTCAGCGGGAGGGTGCTTGCCTCGCATGCATGAGGCCCTGGGTTTGATTCCTCAGCACCACATAAACAGAAAAGGTCGGAATGGCACTGTGTCTCAAGCAGTAGAGCATTAGCCTTGAGCTGAAGAGCTGAGGGACAGCGCGCAGGCCCAGCATTCAAGCCCCACGACCAACACCTCCGTGCCCCGCCCCGGCCCCCCTTCCCCCGCCAAAAAAAAAAAAAAAAAAAAGAATTTAAAGCCAGAATTGATTAATAGAAGCTGTAGCAAGGGAAAATATATTGTGGAGAAAATGAGACTTAATTTGATCTCGGGGTAAATTTGGAGGTGAGGAGATAGGTATGAGCAGAACGTTTTCTAGAAAGTATGAATATGACATTTTTCAGAGACATTAAAAAAGCTTAGCTTACCAGAGTTGAGGGTACATAGTAGGAAACAGAGGAGACTCTGGGACAAGGTTACGGAGGGTTGCAAATAAGAACTTGGACTTGATCGTTTAGAGACAGAATGATAATACATCAGTCAGCTGTGACTGTCTTTGGCAGCATCCTAATTATCCCTTCTCCATTAACTTTATATGTTTCACAATTGGTTCCAATGGAGTTAACAATGTGTTTGTTAGAAAACTCCTTATTGAAAGAACTTATTTTACTTAGAAGTTATTTTATTTTTTTAAATAAAATTAGCATATTGATGTCTAAGAATATCTACATGGAGAAATATTAATATGGAGAAAGGAAAAATCATCCCAATATCATTTCTGGTTGCCTGGGTGGAGAATGTATGAATGCTTATTCAGTGCTTTCTAGTATTTTCTAAGATGATCATGTATAATTTTAAAAAGCAACATGTATTACTATCAGATTAAATTTATTCATGATTTTTCTTTCTTTTTCATTTTAATGTATAAGGAGAAAGCCCAACCATTCCTGTCTTATTTAATCAAGGAATGGGCGATTCCACTTTTGAGTTTCATTCCATCCTGAGTTTTGGAGTTCAGTCATCGTAAGTATTCATGAAGTTTATAAATGGTTGTAAAAATAATAGTGGAAACAGTCCTTCCATCTTTCTTTCCTTCATTTTTTATTTGTAAAAGTATTTATTCTCATTTTCTCCCTGGAGCTTTATTTGTATTAGTAAAATAAAGTGAGAAGGGGCTGGGAAGATAGCTCAGCGGTAGAGTGCATGCCTTGCAAGCATGAGGCCCTGGGTTCGATTCCTCAGCACCACATAAACAGAAAAAGCTGGAAGTGGCGCTGTGGCTCCAGTGGTAGAGCGCTAGCCTTGAGCTAAAAGAGCCAAGGGACAGCGCCCAGACCCAGAGTTCAGGCACCATGACCAGCAAAAAAAATAAATAAATAAAAATAAAAATACATGTTTCATGGCATATATTTTTCACTACCAGTGACAAAAAGTCAATTCTGTATGGTCCAGAAGAGGATCAGCATTTTAGATTTCACTTAAAGTTACATTTCACTTCCCTTGTAATCAGTTTTTCACATATATATATATATATATATATATATATATATATATATATATATATATATATATATATATATTTATGAGGCAGTAGCCTTCAACTCTACCCCACATGTTATCTGGAAGTGATGACACTTATTGTACATAATACAATAAATCAAGTATCATTAATTCACAAATATTACTATCTGGACCTTTGTAGTTTTAACCTTTGTTTATATTAGCTGTCCTATTGCTGCTGAGGTATTTATTGCAAATGGAAGTTCCAAAAACCACGTTACCACTCCTTTGCATGTTATTACCTTACCACACATACATGTAAGACAAGCACATACATACACCTATCTATACAAGAGTACTTTTCGGAGGTTCTAATCTCTAATTTAACAAAACTATTTACTTCTGTCAAAAAGGATTTGCTGTACCTCATGGCTCATGCCTGTAATTACACCTACTTGGGAGGTGGATGTCATGAGGATTTTGATTTTGGGCTAGTCTGGGAAAAAAGTTTGTGAGATACTCCCACCCAGCTGGGCATGGTCATTTCAGCTACATAGGAAGTGGAAATAGCATTATGGCCCAGGCCAGCCTGAGCATCAATACAGAACCTTATTTGAAAAGTAATTAAAGCAAAAAAGTAATAGAGGTATGACAAGTGGTAGAGAACCTGCCTTGCAAGTATGAGGCCTAGAATTAAAATCCCAGTGTGGCCAAAAGAAAAGGTTAACTTGTTTCTGTTGCTTCTGTACTTAAACTTCCGAGAAAGTAGCCTTTTTTACTAAACTACCACATAAATTTCTCTTGTTTCATTTTTAGGATCAAGTATTCTAACAGTATCAAGGAAATGGTGGTTCTCTTTGCCACAACGATTTATAGAATTGGGCTGAAAGTGCCTCCTGATGAAATGGATCCTCGAGTCCCTGTGATGACCTGGAGCACATGTGCTTTCACTATTCAAGCAATTGGTAAGGCCTAGAAGAAAATGGCTTGGGCATTTCACTAAAACAGAATTAACATTCATTGACCAAAAAGTATATCATTTTTCTTCTAATATCCCAGAAGGCTTTGAGCTGTTTGAGGTGTGGTAATTTTTTTCTATAGGTCACTTTTAGCCAGCTATCATAGTGATCATATAGAGCATAAGTTAAAGATAGCTTAAAGGGATAACTCAAGCATGTAACAGTCAAAAGTGGTCTATTTAGCTGAAAGTGGTGACAAATACCTGTAATTCCTGAGAGTAGAGACAGATGGCAAGTTTTAGATCAGTGCAGCTAAAAGTTAGCAAGACCGTATCTCAAAAACAAAATAAAGCAGGGAGGCAAGCACTGGTGGTTCCCACTTGCAAACTTGGCTACTCAGGATTGAGAGACCCATAAAAATTCCTATTTACTCATAGAAAATAATACAGTATTCATTGTTAAGGATGAGTTAATAGATAGGTAACAGGTACTAATTACTTGATCATGTATAAGAAAAATATGCGAAAATGTATAACCTTTCAAAGGATAAATATGTAGATTCACAAATTAATGTGTTTTATTAAAAAATGAGATCTTTTAATATACTCATAATGCTGCATGTACTTCATAACTAGTGTTAATATATTTTCATGATTTTATTAATAGCACATTAAATAAATAATTTCTTTGAAAAAACAACAAACACAAAATCAGCCCAGGAAGATAAAAAAGCTGGACTGAAGACATGGCTCTAGTGGTAGACAGCCAATCATGAGAAAACAACACAAATGCATTGGAGTCCCTAAGGCCAAGCCCCAGTACTGCCAAGAAAGGGAAGGGAGAAAGAAATGAATGAACGAACTAACAAAGGAAGGAAAGAAGGAAAGACAGCTCAAGTGGAAAAACACTTGCCTAGCCTAGCATGTATAAGGCCCTGGGTTAATTCTTGGTACCAAAAAAAAAACTTTTTTAATGGCTGATTTATAACTTTATACGATCAAGAATATGGTAAACAGGTCTGAAGTGAAGTTTTCTGTCAAATTCTTCACCTTCTTGGAAATAGAAAAGTAGAAAAGTGAAGTATTAAGAATCACTTAGATTTTAAATTAACACATTTGTTCCTTATAGTTAAAAAGTACAATACCATAGAGGAGTTTTAAGGACTAAGAGTTTTCCTAACAAATGGACTTGGAAAGTAGACAGGAGTAGCTATACTCTTACCTGATAAGTCTTCAGCCTACTTCTGGTGTAATCCCAGCTGTAATCCTAACTACTCAGGAGACTGAGATCTGAGGATCACAGCTTGACCCAGCTTAGGGAGGAATGTTTATGAGACTGTTACCTATAATTAAGCACGAAAAAAGCTTTAAGTGGAAGTGTAGCTCAAATGGACGAGTACCAGCCTTGAGCAGAAGAGTTCAAGGACAGTGCCCAGGCTCTGAATTTAAGCCCCAGGTTCACCAAATAGAAAAAAGAATCTTCAGTGGGTGAGAATATTATAAGGGGTGATACCGATCAAGACCCAGGGTATTCATAAACTGCTTTGTTGAATGGCAGCTACTTTGTACAACTACTTTTACAGACAATAAAAATTATAGAAAGTCTTCAAAATTACTCAGAAGGCACAAAGATTTATATTTATAAAGAAAATAGTTCATCAAGAGGCGATAACAATTGTTAACATACATGTACCACACATAGGTATATCTGATTACATTAAATAAACAGTACTAGCCTTAGAGTCACAGACAGACTCCAACATAATCATGGTGTGAGACTTTAGTTCTTCACTCCCACCAATAGATAGGTCCTCCAGACAGCTAATCAAAGAAACTTCAGCATTAAGAGACCCTGTAGACCAAATGGAATTAATTAGCAGACATTTGTGTTATGTATGTATACACATATGCATATCAGACTGTTTGAAAAAGGCAGTGGGGAAGAAGGGAAATTCAGTGAACATAATTGAAGGGATGAACTTTTCTGCAGTACACTGTATGAATCCATAGAACTTACGGATTTATTTATTTACTGTGATGCACCTTTGTACTATTAATGTATGTTAACAAAGAAAAAAATACTTGAGAAAACCTAAAAAATGTTTTAACTTCAGAGAATTTTGGATTAGGAATATTCAACCAGTATTTTATACTTTGCTACCTTTGGAAAGACTAACATCTCCTTATATTTAGATGCTGTGAACATAAAATCCTTGTTTTGTTATAAAGTAAATGACCCACTCAATAGAAATATATCGAATCTTTTCATAGGTAATTTTGTAATCTTGTAATAGTTAGATTCTTTTCAATTAGTATAGTTCCATATTGTGTGTGTCATAGTGTTTTTTTTTCCATTCTGCAAACATAATGTTCTACTTTCATCTTTTTAATAGACAGGTAAAATTGAATTGGGTATGATAGGATGTTCTTTTTTTTTTTTTTTCTTGTTGGTCGTGGTGTTTGAACTCTGGGCCTGGTCACTGTCCCTGAGCTCTTCAGCTCAAGATGAGCGCTCTACCACTTGAGCCACACCACCACTTCTGGTTTTCTGGTGGTTCATTGGAGATAAGAGTTTCATGGACTTTCCTGCCCAGGCTGGCTTCAAACCACGATCCTCAGTAGCTAGGATTATAGGCATGAGCCACTGGCACCTGGCTAATATGATGTTTTAAAGAGTAGTATATGCTATAGAAAGATTAAGCCAAGCTAATTATCAAATATGTTTACTCAGTTATTTTTGTGGTGAGATATGTTTATTTGTAGTATATAATCAGCTAACTTCTCTCTCTCTTATGAGAACGGTAAAGAATATAACAGATATATTGGCACAAGATGTAGTTGAAGAATCAAAGCATCATTTATTTTGGACTATTTAAAGATAGAAAAAGAGGGCTGGGAAGGTAGCTCAGTGGTAGAGCGCTTGCCTTGCATGCCTGAGGCCCTGGGTTCGATTCCTCAGCACCACATAAGCAAAAATTAAAAAAAAAAAAAAAAAAAAGATAGAAAAAGAATGGAGTATAATACTACAATCCCAGCACTTGGAAGCAGCAGCAGAAAGATTATCAATTTGAGGCAGACTGGGTTAGTGAATTCATGACCAGTCTGAGCTACATAGCAAGAAATTGTCTCAAAAAAAAGCAGTATTCTGGATTTATTGCTTTTGTGTTTTCCTTTTTTTTTTTTTTTTTTTGTTTAAAGAAAACCTATTGGAAGATGAAGGAAAACCTCTGTTTGGAGCACTTCAAAATAGGCAGGTATGTATATTCCAACAGAGTTGATGTAGGCTGTAGTTTTGTGAGATATTTAAAATATTAAATATAAATAACCAGAGTTAACTTAACAGTTTTGAAAATGTTTACTCTTTTTCCTGTGAAGAATAGTGGAATTCTGTGGGAGGAGAAAGGAACTATTTCAATATTATAGGAAAATGAATGATCACTGTAACATACTTTAGTCAACTTTCTGTAGTTAAATGAGTACATAGGTTCCAGGTAATAACCTCATTATTCTCGCACTCCTTTGCGAATTGTCACATCTAAAACTTGGAATCCCCTATATTTTTCTCTCCTCATTAATGTTATACCATCATGTAACATCATGTATCATTGAAAAGGCTGGCTTAGTTCTAAACAGATCATCATAACTGAGTTTGAGAATAAAACATAAAACTCAAAAGAGTGTGCCCTAGTAGCACTCTGAAAAGAAAATGGGCACAGTAGATTTAATAGATTATTCCACTGTTGTTCCTCTCTTATATCCTGACAGGTGGCATGTGAAACTCAGAATCCACCAGGTGTACTTACTTCCCTCTAGTTCTGTTGTTTGGGAAGCAGAAGATGTGTTGAGTGGCCCAGTGGTTTTCTTAACTATCATTTTAGAATTTCTAGAAATACATTTGTATAAGCCTCAATAGAATTCATAAATTGGCTAGACATTTAAGAAATTGCCTCTAAAAAATGAGGGTGTTAAGGGAATTAAAAATATCACAGCTGGGGGCTGGGAAGATGGCTCAGTGGTAGAGTGCTTGCCTTGCATGCCTGAGGCCCTGGGTTTGATTCCTCAGCGCTAGCCTTGAGCTCAAGAGCTGAGGGACAGCACCCAGGCCCAGAGTTCAGGGCCCAAGACTGGACCCCCCCCAAAAAAAAATATCACAGCTTTAATATTTGTCATGTGAAAATCTGTTAAAAATTTAGTAAGCCCACAAACTTGATAGGTATTAAGAATATTGCAGCTAGACTATAAAGTGTATATTGAGTTTGTAACTGTGATAGAATTGGTTTTGCCCTGTCATCTTTCCTTAGCATTCTGTCTACCCCTCTCTTACACTCTAGCACAATGGTCTGAAAGCATTGATGCAGTTTGCAGTTGCACAGAGGACTACCTGTTCTCAGGTCCTGATACAGAAACATCTGGTTCGCCTACTGTCAGGTAGAATCTTCTCTTAATAAATGTGATATTATTTGGGCGTTCTTTCCTACTTCATTTCTATTGGTGTATCTCATTAGGAAACAACACACTGCTCTAATTTTGAACACCCCCTAAAGAAATCTCACTGCCTGCAGTAGGCTTACAAAAATATATAAGTAGGCCAGGCGCTGGTGGCTCCTGCCTATAATCCTAGTTCCTCAGGAGGCTGAGAGCTGAGGATCGTGGTTTAAAGCCAGCCCAGGCAGGAAAGTCTGTGAGAGCCTTATCTCTAATAAATTACTCAGAATAGGCCAGAAGTGGCGTTGTGGCTCCAGTAGTAGAGTGTTAGTTTTGAGCAGAAAAAGCTCAAGATTAGTGCCTAGGCCCTGAGTTCAAACCTCAGGACCTAGGTGGTGGGGTGGGGTAGTAAACAAACTGCATAGCTACTCCTGAATATTTGCAGTGTTACTTTAAAGATCAGGTATTTTTCAAATACTTTCATCCTACTTAGGAAATTGAATCAATACCCATAGTGACTAACATCCATGTCTGCTTAGAAAAGTGATAAATGACTTGGGTAGATTTTAAAATGTTTAATTTTGGTAGTGACCCAAAGCCATGTACAACAATAATTTTATTTCAACAAGTCAATAAAATAATAGAAATGCTAAGTATGGGACTCTTAGAACTCAGGTTAATATGGTTTTCTGTTCTTTTGTTTTTTGTTTTGCTTTTCTATGTCAATAATGGGACTTGAACTCAGGACCTCTAGCTCTCACTTAGCTTTTTCACTAAAGGCTAATAGTACTCTACTACTTGGGTCATGGCTTCATTTCTGGCTTTTTGCTATTTAATTGGAATAAGAGTGTCTTAGGTTTGTCTTACTGGGCTGACTTCAATCCTTGATCCTTAGATCTCTGCCTCTTGAATGCTAGTCTTGAGCCACCAGCGCCTGGCTTTTCTTTGAGAGACAGATATTATATATCATAGAACATTTAGTGCAATTAGTGGAGAAAAAGTGATAGAGGGAACTTTTATAAAGGAAACTGTCCTAACTTACTCAGTATTTAGGGGTAAAAGAGCTACTAATTATTGAAAGCAGGGCCTCATGCATAAAATAAGCTTATACTCTTCCCAGCAAATATTTCTTGGGCAATCTCTAGTTTATTTTGTAGTTCATTTACCTTTTTTTTTTTTTTTTGGTTGGTCGTGGGGCTTGAACTCTGGGCTTGGGCGCTGTCCCTGCCACTCTACCGCTTGAACCACAGTGCCACTTCCTGTCTTCGAGTGGTTTTTCTTGGAGATAAGAGTCTCATTGACTTTCTTGCCCAAGCTGGCTTTGAACCTTGGTCCTTAGATCTCAGCCTCCTGAATAGCTAGGATTACAGGCGTGAGCCACTGGTGCCCGGCTTCATTTACCTTTTCCTCTGAGATCTTATCTTCCAGCCTTTAAATTGCATCTAAGCCTTTCTAATATCCTTTCATAAATTCAATTTATCTTTTATGATAGTTCTCAGATCTTAAAGGTATGTTGTACTAATTTCTGAATTTTATACTTCTAGCTTGCATTTTATTTAATTACATTGCAGTCTTTCTGACTGAATTGTATTTTGTTTGTTTTAGTTATTCTTCCAAACCTAAAATCAGAAGAAACACCATGCCTTTTGTCTATAGATCTGTTTCATGTTTTGGTAAGTGTTTAGTAAAATGTTTTTGAAAGCCACTAAATTGATATGTTTTTTTCCTCATTCAAAGTCATGCTTTCTATTCAAGGTAATAACTTATTGATGTTCAACCTGTGAAGTTTAGCCTTTACTCATTCTGTTTATAAACAGGTATAGCTTGGACTAAGATGATCAAGATAGCATTAAAAATAAAGTAACATTTGTTTTTAAGCTTACAATTGGTTCTAAGTTTGTTATATTTATATATTTTTTTATTTTATATATACATATCTATATATAGATATATATATAGGAAACTTTCCTAGGCAATCTTAGGCTTCTTTCCCACCCCATTTTCTTGCCTTGTTTATATTATAGGTAGTGAATGACATCATTGTTTAGTAATAGGGACCAGGCTATAGATGTATCTAGGCTTCTCTATAACACCTGTGGACACGCGACAGATGTTCTCATCCTGTACAGATCTTACCTCTTTAAACCAGCTTCTCTGAAGAAAGCCATGATGAGATTGGGAGCCGGCACCTCCATTGCTCATTGTCTAGGCCTCTACTGGGTTGTTCTCAACCTTGACTCGTATGGAATACCCTGGGGGTGTTTGAACAGAATACTGGTAACTAGGCCCTGTCCCTAGAGATTCTGATTTGGTTAGAGGCCCGAGTTGAGGCCTATGTGTCCATGTCACTCATTGTAAGAGCTCTCCAATGATTGTAATGTTCAATCTTCCAAACCACTACCTAGATCTAAAGTACTTACTAAGTAAAGGATTAACCTATTTTCTGATGATTATGTGCCAAGATATTCTGTTGAATGCCTAGGAAAAATATGGTAGCAATTAAAGGAACCACAAATGCAGTACAGTATCTGGTGCCTTTTCTACTTAGTCATGATAATAACTTGTGTAGTCTTTCATTGTTGTCCCTGTTGACGTCCATTTTTCTCTCATAGGTAGGTACTGTGTTAGCATTCCCGTCCTTGTACTGGGATGACACTGTTGATCTGCAGCCTTCATCAATTAGTTCTTCCTATAACCACCTTTATCTCTTCCATTTGATCACCATGGCACACATGCTTCAGATACTTCTTACAGTGGATACAGGTAAAGCTCCTGTGTGGGTATTGACTGGAAATAACATCTGCCCCTGCTTTATTGGCAGAATAAGGTGTATGATTAATCATAATAGGTATTTCTGAAGAGTGTCTTCTATTGAATGATTATTCATTTTCTTCTTTACAGATTCCATTTAAACTGGGAAAGCTAGACTTAAGCTGAGAAAACAATAACTAGCTGAAGCTACTGGTTGTCTCATTTGTAACTGCTCTGTAGATATGTAGGGAAGCCATTTAGATCCACTTTTCCCATTTAAAAAAAAATCCTTATTCTCCAAGTTTCTCCTGACCTGAGTTGAAAAGTTCAACTCTTCATTAAGCTTGTACAAGGAACCATTTTCTATTCTTCTAACCAAAATAACAGTACTTTTGTCTTCTAGTATTCATCAGACTGGCTTATTTTATTATTACTTGTTTTTTATTTTATTGTGCCACTCCTTTCCTTGCTTTACCCCTCTCTGCTCTTCCTTCCTTAATGTAAATTTCCTTGTGATAAGAAGCAATCAGATTTCAGAAATTTCCCTAAGTCCAGGTCTGAGTATCACTAAGTAATAAGGAATGCTAAAAATTCCAATATCTACAGGAGGAAGATAGAGAAAGTGATGATATTAACTAAAATACAACAATTACATACGCATCCACCCTTTGATCCATCACTTCCGCTTCTATCCCAGCCAAGTATGTTGGCACATGTCTGTAGAACCAGCTATAGGCTGGGTAGGATGCTGGACTGAAGGATCATTTGAGTCCAGGAGTTCAGGACCAGTCTGGAATGAACAAGATTTACTGATATATAATGCTCTGCAGGGTATACTCTAGTAAGTGGAAAAAGCAGCATGCAGAAGAGTGGGTCTAACATAGTGCCTTTGTGTTTGTTTTGTTTTGTCTTGTTTTTGTTTTTTGTTGGTCATGGGGCTTAAACTCTGGACCTGGCCGCTATCCCTGAGCTTTTCAGCTCAAGGCGAGCGCTCTACCACTTGAGCCACAGCGCCACTTCCTTGTTAGATGTCTTATATGTATATATGATTGTATATGTTCATATTTACTTAAATGATTGCTGCTAGGGTAATAAGATAAAGATACAGGCAGTGGAACAGAGACTCCAGTGAATGTCCTTTTAAAATGTGGCTTGAGTTTTAAAGCCCTAAAAGTGTTAAGTTAGCTAAAAAACTTGAATGGAGGGAATCTAAATTAAATTTATTAGGCATTTCATGAAAATGATGACTTCACCTTATTTAAGGTCATGAAACTAGTTTATAAGGTGCAACAATGGTGGATGCGTGTACTCTTAGTCCAGTTCTCATTTGGAAAATGAAAATACTAGCATCTAAGATAACATAAAGTCTCTGAGTTATTTATTATTATTTATTATTATTTAATTTATTTATTTTCGGGTTGGTCATGGGGCCTGAACGCGGCCTGGGCACTGTCCCTCAGCTCTTCAGCTCCAGGCTAGCATTCTACCACTTCAGCCACAGTGCCACTTCTGGCTTTTTCTGCTTATGTGGTGCTGAAGAATGGAACCCAGGGCCTCATGCATGCAAGGCAAGCACTCTACCACTGAGCCACCTTCCCAGCCCCATCGTAGAGTTATTTTTTTTTTTTTTTTTTTGGGTCCAGTCATGGGGCCTGAACTCTGGGCCTGGGCGCTGTCCCTCAGCTCTTCAGCTCAAGGCTAGCGCTCTACCACTTGAGCCACAGTGCCACTTCTGGCTTTTTTCTGCTTATGTGGTGCTGAGGAATCGAACCCAGGGCCTCAGGCATGCAAGGCAAGCGCTCTTCCACTGAGCCACCTTCCCAGCCCTCGTAGAGTTATTTTAATTGTGACCTTTCAAAAGAATTAATGCTTAAGCAAAAGTGTTTTAAAGCAACAGAGCAGTAGCATACAGCAGCAATGCTGTAACCATGCCTCATAGAAAACATCAAGGGAGGCATTTATCTGCATTTTAATGTAATAAAACTAAAGTTGAGCAAATTTAAGTGACTTAATCAGAGTCTTAAGGTGAGGGGCAGAATTGGTTATTATCAACATAGAGGTGTGGTTTGTAGATTTGATAGTGAATCCGTGAATTCAGCTTGTAGGATTTCTTTTTCAGGCCTCCCTCTGGCCCCAGTTGAAGAAGACAGTGAAGAGGCTCATTCTGCATCCTCTTTCCTTGCAGAAGTTTCACAATATACAAATGGGTGAGTAACTGTTCATTAGTCCAGTCTGCATTAGTATTGACCTAATAATTCCACATCTTTTTTTTTTTTTTTGGTCGGTCGTGGGGCTTGAACTCTGGGACTGGGTGCTGTCCCTCAGCTCTTCAGCTCAAGGCGAGCGCTCTACCACTTGAGCTACAGCGCCACTTCCGGTTTTTTGGTGGTTTATTGGAGATAGGAGTCTCACAGTCTTTCCTGCCCCGGCTGGCTTTGAATCGTGATCCTCAGATCTCAGTCTCCTGAGTAGCTAGGATTACAGGCGTGAGCCACCAGCGCCCGGCTGGCAATATAGCTTTTGAACCTTTTTGTTTCTAAAAAATTAGTTAAAATTTTTCTACCCAAGCTGGCTTCAGACTGTGATCCTCAGATCTCAGCTTTTGAGTAGCTACAGGCCCAGTGGCTCAGCACCAGCACCTGGCTATTTTAATTTTAAGTGTTTAAATTTTTGGTGGTTGGTAAATTGTGTAAATACTAAATACAGTGGATATGCTTAAAATCTAGAGGTTTATCTGATAACTGTTCTGTTCTTTTCTGGAATACTGTCTCCTAGCTGCGTTGGGTGTAGTACTCCTGGCTGGTATTTGTGGGTCGCATTGAAGAATGGCATCACTCCTTACCTTCGCTGCGCCGCGCTCTTCTTCCACTACTTACTTGGGGTAACTCCGCCTGAAGAACTGCTTACCAGTAAGTCGCAGTTGCACATGGAGACTTCTTATTCTCATCTTTAATCTCAAAAATGCAAGATTAGAGCAGCCAGAATTATTTCTCTGCTCTATCTATCATCCATCTTCACTCCAGACTTACGTGTTCTACCCTGGTGAATGTGAAAAATGAAGTCCAAAACCAGATTAGTCTTATCAGCAAATGATGCTCTTGGCATGTATAATTTATGTGCCTACATTTATAAAATGCTGAAATGAAGAATATAAGTGATATGTTGCACAGGAAGTACAGACATTAGTGGTCTTTAGGAAGGAGCACTATTTGGCTGGGAGAAAGACTTGGATATTCTGTTATTTGAACTTTGAACATAAAGCTACATTAAATAATGCAATTACTAGTAGAAAAGGCCTGTTAGAATCAACTAAGACTATGTATATTTAAGCCCCAGGATAATTTTCATCCTCATATACTTGCCTCTAAATTTAGACCCAAGTAAAAAGGCTTCTTTGTGGATTTCTGTGGGTAAAAGTCAGATTTTAGAATAGTCACCAAAACTATAAGTAGATTCTTCTTTTTGTCTTTTGAGAATAAACTAATCAGTCACCTTTGCTGGCTTTCGGCTTCTCTGTCTTGAACTCAGTTCAGTAAAATATTTGACCAAACTCTTGACAGTATAAATATGTTGCATGTACACACACACACACACACACACACAGAGACACACACACACACACACACACACACACACACACACACGATCTAGTAGTCCACAGTAAAGAAAGTCCCTACATTGGGAGGGGACTAAATATAAAGATAAATATGTATTTTTTGGGGGGGGAGGTCCGGTTGTGGGGCCTGAACTCTGGGCCTGAGCACTGTCCCTCAGCTCAAGGCTAATGCTCAACCACTTGAGCCACAGCGCCACTTCCGGCTTTTTTCTTTTTGCTTATGTGGTGCTGAGGAATCGAACCCAGGGCCTCAGGCATGCAAGGCAAGTGCTCTACCACTGAGCCAACTTCCCAACCCAAATATGTATTATATAATGTAAAATTATAAAAAAAAAATACTGCAAAGAAAAATAAAGCTGATCATGGGACTAGAGACTGTGGGGGCCAGAGTGTGCCTTGCAGTAGGTAGCCATGGAAAGTTTCCCCTAGAGAGATACTGAAGAAAGAACTGCATGGATAAGATGAAGATGAAGAGAATTCCTAAGCAAATGGAAAAATAAACACATAGAGTTTGCTTGGCATAGGCAGAGACACCCAAAACATGAGTATGACTGGAAACCTAATGAGCATGGTCGAGGGGAGAGTAGTAGTTTTTGGAGGCAGCTAAGGTCTAGATCCTGGATGGCATAGTTTTTTGAGTGGGATGTGAAGATCTGTGATAGAGTGCTTGTCTGCCATGTATGAGGCCAGAGTTTTGTCCCCAGTACCACCCACAGATGTATACAAGTACATGTGTGTACACGCATACTCACACCTCATGCCCATAACCTTAGCTACTCAGGATGCGGAGATCTGAGGATCACAGTTCAAAGCTAGCACAGGCAGGAAAGTCTAAGACTTATCTCTGACTCATCATCAAAATGCTGGGAGTGGAGCTGTGACTCAAGTGGTAGAGCTTTAGCGACGAGCAAATAAGCTCAAGGACAGTACCCAGGACCTGAGTTCAAGCCCCGAAACACAAAAACAAAACAACTGAAAGGACTTAATTTGTAAAAGGATCATTTGGCTATTTGCCCACTGTTACACAGAATATAAAATATACTATATTGTAGAAAAATGAGCATAAAGTGACACTCTTAGGATATTGACTAGAGAAAAATAATGTATTTATTATATTTTTTCATTTTCTTGCAGATTCTGCAGAAGGAGAGTACAGTGCATTATGTAGCTATCTATCTTTACCTACAAATTTGTTCCTGCTTTTCCAGGAATATTGGGATACTGTAAAACCTTTGCTTCAGAGGTACTATAGGGATAATAATGTCATTGTTGGGTTACTATGTAATTTAAAATTTTTATTTTCATTTTTGATTTATTGACACACTTATGAGGCAAAAATCTCACTATGTAGCCTAGGCTGTCCTCAAATTCACGATCCTGCCACACAGTCTCCCAAATGCCCAGTGTGAAAATACAAAGTATAATTATTTGCTTAGCTTTGAGATTGATTAGCATTGATAGAAGGGGTGGCAAAAGCACAGGCAATTCCTATTTCGTAGACTTGAGTAGGAATAAGACTAGCATGTAAGCAGATGGAATTTCTGCTTGTACCTTGATGGCTACTGTGTATTTGTTTCATTCATCTTCTCCACAACTGGTGTTTCATTCCGGGATAGTGGCTGGCTATTGCTAGCAAATAGAAAATCACAATCAAATTAAGAATCAAAGGAACCCAAATTACAACTGTTTCCAAAACAGATACACATCTCACTGAGTAGCACACATCTCAAGAGGGTGACAGAGGAGATAAAGAAAACCATTTGTTAGATCAAAGATGTAGCACTTAGGGGCTGGGAAGGTAGCTCAGCGGTAGAGTGCATGCCTTGCAAGCATGAGGCCCTGGGTTCGATTCCTCAGCACCACATAAACAGAAAAAGCCGGAAGTGACACTGTGGCTCCAGTGGTAAGAGTGCTAGCCTTGAGCTGAAGAGCTGAGGGACAGCTCCTAGACCCAGAGTTCAGACACCATGACTGGCTAAAAAAAAGATGTACCACTTAAATTTTCCTTCCTTCCTTCCTTTCTGTCTGTTGTGGGGCTTGAACTCTGGGCTTGGACACTGTCCCTCAGCTCTTCAGCTCAAGGCGAGCGCTCTACCACTTGAGCGTCAGCCCCACTTCCGGTTTTCTGGTTGTTTATTGCACATAAGAGTTTCACGGACTTTCCTGCTTGGGCTGGCTTTGAACCTCGATCCTCAGATCTCAGCCTCCTGAGTAGCTAGGATTACAGGCATGAGCCACCGGTGCCTGGCTGTAGCACTTAAATTTTCTAGACAGAACTATGTCTCTTTTCAGAAAAACTTCCTAGCCTATTATGACCTGCACCTCCAGTGGGGGCAAGGGAAGGGGGATCATGTGACATGTCTCCATTCTTTTTTTTTTTTTTTTTTGTCAGTCGTAGGACTTGAACTCTGGGCCTGAGTACTGTCCCTGGGCTCTTCAGCTCAAGGTGAGTGCTCTACTACTTGAGCCACAGCACCACTTCTGGCTTTCTTTGGTTTATTGGAGATAAGAGTCTCACAGAAGCCCAGCATTGGTGGCTCATGCTTGTAATACTAGCTACTCAGGAGGCTGAGATCTGAGGATCGCAGGTCATAGCTAGCCCAAGCAGGAAAGTCCATGAGACTCTTATCTCCAATAAACCACTAGAAAACCAACCGGAAGTGGCACTGTGGCTCAAGCGGTAGAGCTCTCGCCTTGAGCTGAAGAGCACAGGGACAGGGCCCAAGCCCAGAGTTCAACCCCCATGACCGACCCAAAAAAAAAGTTTCATGGACTTTTCTGCTCAGGCTGGCTTTGAACTGTGATCCTCAGATCTCAGCCTCCTCACCTGAATAGCTAGGATTACAGGCATGAGCCACTGGTCCCTAGCCTATTGTTGTATTTTCATATATGCAAACAAACTACTTTGACTATATTCATCCTCATTCACCCCTGTTCACATTTCCTTCATGTTTTCAACAGTCTTCAGGATGGAACTCAGAGTCAGGGTGCCTGCTAAGCAAGTGTTCCACCACTCAGCAAACCCCAGATCTCATCACTTTTATTACTACTTCCTAATATTAAACTCTTGTTTACATACTTACTTAGAGTAATTACTGTCTTTCTAGTTAAACCTTAATTAACAAAACCTTTTTTTAGGACTAAAATAGAAAACAGAAAGGGAAGAATGTAAGAAAAGAGACAAAATTAAGATAAAATAACCATAGAAGGGGGAATATGGAAAGAAAGGACTGCAAAATTGGAGAAAATGGCTCATAGATGAATTTCATGCTTCACTTTTGATAATCCATTTGCCTTCTCTCTTGGTTCTGCACACAGGTGGTGCGCTGATCCTATCTTACTCAACTGTTTACAGCAGAAAAGCACTGTGGTCAGGTTGGTTTTACGCCCTTCCACCCCGTCCCCCTCCATAAAATGTGTGCTAAAGTAGTTGCTTGGTTTGTTGGGCATGCTGTCTAGTCCACCTTCTTTCTTCACTTGGTTCTTTGTTTCCTGTTTATCTGTTATCTTTGCCTAAATCAGACTCTTCCTATGTAGTGATTTTTTTTGTTGGAGCATCCTTTCTTTCCCTCTGAGTTGTCAGAGGCCCCTCTTGAGAAGACCTTGCTTAAGCTACTGCACACCTATCAGAAGGCAAATGATGGTATCAGGGAGCTGCAAAAGGCACTGGGTTTTAGTATTTCTATAAACTAATTTTTTTCTTGGAGAAGAATGATAGGAATAGAACTGCTTCCTCATTCTGCTTATATGCTTACAACTAGCCAAAAGAACCTTTTTTTAGCCTTCTTAACTTCCTATGTTGTGACTTTCAGAATCAACCTTTTCCACAATTTAAATGTCACCTTCATGAAGCCTGCCCTCTTTCTTTTGTAATGTATGTGTGCATGTACACCACAGCACCCAAATCACTGAATGGTAATGGGGTCAGAACTTAATATGTTCCCTTACTTACGTTTTAAATTTCTTAAGTCAGTATGATTCTTAACTGATGAGTTCATTTAATTTGTTTCTCCCTGCCCCCCCAAGCCTCATAATTGATGATATACCCATAATTGGAATATAATACTTCAACCCCAGTTTATAGATGAGGAAATATAGGTTCAGGTTCACAGGCTGTCATGTACCAGAGAATTTAGAATTTGTAATCATTCTGTCTCATTTCAAAAGTTATGCTCTTGATGGGTGACAATGTTGTCAGACACCTTGTATTCATATACTGTTTTGTAGAATGGGAACTTAAAGATAATAATAAGTGTTTTAAAAAAAGTTATGCTCTTAACCACTCTGTTTGGTTACCTTCCTAGACAGTCTATAATCTAACTAGAAAAAACTTAGTATTAGCAAACAGTGGGACTTGAGTGGGAAGAAAGCCATCTGAGGGAAGTTTCAAGCTGAGAAGCTTGAAATTAGTCTGTTCAGCTATGGAGCTTACTCTTAATTGCAGTTATTAATCCTTTTGTTATTTTGAAGATATTCTTCCTATTATCACCTATTTTAGTTTTAGTCTTGTTTCTTATAAAGCTGTCTTTTCAATTACATTTGTAGGTACCCTAGAAAAAGAAACAGTTTGATAGAGCTTCCTGATGACTACAGCTGCCTCCTAAATCAAGCTTCTCATTTCAGGTAAAACCTTTGTGTGTGTCTGTGTGTGTGTGTCTCTGTGTGTGTGTGTCTCTGTGTGTCTGTGTGTGTGTGTCTGTGTGTGTGACTTCATCTTCACTACTACTAACTTGGCTTTTCAAAAAGCAAACTGAGCATTGAGCATCCTTCCTTGTGGTAATGTCAGTCTTTTAATTGAAGTGAAATTTACATAACACACAATTTGTTATGATTAAGTATTCATTACAGTAGCTTTTAGTATGTTTATAAAGTTGAACAGTGAAGATTCTCTGGAATGATGTTTCTCTGACTGGTTTCAAATAGAAATGAAGACAGATTCTCTGCTCTTTTAGAGTGAATCATCTCAGCTGTTGGATTATCACTGCTTATTATTTTTGTTTCCCATTGACAGTAGTGTGGCTTACAGTCTTCTCCTTTCTAGGCAAATTTTCTGCCTTCTAAGCCTTACTCAGAGCCCTTTATGATTTAGCTTATTTTTCAGATAGGGTCTCTCATGCTTTCCACCCTGGACCATTCTCAGACTAAATTCTTTCTGTCTCCACTTCTCAAGTTGTTGGGATTATAAGTATGTTACACCAGTTCTACCTTGTTACCTTCTTGAATTTTTTGCCCAGGCTGACCTCAGACTAGGGTCCTATGTCTGCTGCCAAGCAGCTGGAATAAGTGTACTTCACTCAGTTGTTTTTCCTCTGTAGGATAGCTAGTGACTTAGACTCAGATATCCTGCCTTAAAGATGAAACATTTGAGCTGTCCATTTAAATGACTACATATTCTGGAGCAGTCCCTGGAGATGAAAAGCAGCTCCCTCATCTATAGGAGAATGCTATGTACAGAGTCATAGCGTCTAGTACCTCTGCTCCTATATAAATAATGGCAGTTTTCTCATTTTGCCTGAGAAAATGTGTCTCAGAATAAATTATCAAAGCTCTCTTAGAGATTCTTCTGATGTTCTTCAATGCAGACTCTAAGGTAAATCACTTGATCTCCTATCTTTTTGCTTTCATATAAATCTTATTTTTCATTGTGTGTAGATAGAGATAGGAGGAGCATGAGATTTCTTTTAAAGACAACCAGTATCTCTTTCGGAAAATATAGCAAGGCTCCAACATACCACTATGCAAAATTGTCAGATCTCAAATTTTTTTTTTTTTTAAGTTTTTGTTTTGTGCCAGTTCTGGAGCTTGAACTCAGAGCCTGGGTACTGTCTCTGAATTTTGAGTGTCACAGATTTTCTTGCCTATGCTGGTTCTGGCTCATGATCTTCAGTTCTCAGCCTCCTGAGTAGCTAGAAGTACAGGTGTGAGCCATCAGCTCTTGGCTACAAATGGTTTAAGTGAGTAATCTCTTTCACTTTTTCCCTTCCTAAGACTTGCTATGATTCTCAGCTAGAAGGGTACATTAACTCAAAGGCCACAGTTTCTCATTTCTTTTTTTTCTTTTCTTTTGGCCGGTTGTGGACCCAGGGCCTAGGTGCTGTCCTTGAGCTTTTTCAATCAAGGCTCTACCACTTTGAGCCACAGCACCACTTCTGGTTTTCTGGTGGTTAATTGGAGATAAGAGTCTCACAGACTTTTCCTGCCCAGACTGGCTTGGAACCATGATCCTCAGATCTCAGCCTCCTGAGTGGCTAGGATTATAGGTGAGAGCCACTGGTGCCTGGCCATAATGTAATTTTTTATTAAAGCACTCCAGCCAGGTGCCAATAGTTTATGCCTGTAATCTTAGCTGATATCTAAGGATTGAATTCAAAGCTAGCTTGGGGCAGACAAATTGGAGAGAGTCTTATTTTCAATTCACCTCCAAAAGCTGGAGGTGGAACTGTGGCTCAAGTGCTAGAGTGCCAACTTTGAGTAGAAAGAGCTAAGGGTGAGTGTGAAATCTTGAATTCAAGCTCCATAACCAGCACAGAAAAAAAAAAATTCACGCTTATAAGCTTGACTAAGCTAGTAGAGGGAGGCAGTTGACTCATGTTAAATGAAGTAAATCTCATTTTCAAGACAGACATAATCATGAGATTAAGTTTTTGTAAATTGTAAGTCCCTTTACAGGAAGTATTAAAGAGGAATAAACTAATTAAATGTACCCTTATGTTTTAAGAGCTTCCCTTGGTGGAAAAGGACCAATGATGGAAAGCATCCTTCACTCTTAAGTACTTGGTGCTTTTTTTTTTTGCCTCCACATTAAATGCTTCTTTCCCTATTGAGGTGTCCACGGTCTGCGGATGATGAACGAAAGCATCCGGTTCTCTGTCTTTTCTGTGGGACCATCCTGTGCTCTCAGAACATTTGCTGCCAAGAAATTGTGAATGGGGAAGAGGTTGGAGCTTGCATTTTTCATGCACTTCACTGTGGAGCAGGAGTCTGCATTTTCTTGAAGTAAGTACTGAGTGATCTGGAAATTTACAAAAACAAACCACAGAATAGGGATCCTATCTAGACGCTGTTATAATGAGACAGTTTGTTGTAAAAAGTAATTGATCAGAAGTTAGAGTATAAACCTATTCTTATTAAATTGCACTTGAGGAACATTACAAAAAAAGTAATCAAATGTAGTTGGATTCTGCTCATATTCCCACTATTTGTAGAAATTTTTACATGGGGTAGACTTTGTGGTAATGACTTTGGTATTGTATAATATTCAGAGATAATTAAAGAATTTTTAGTCTTAAAATGTATGTTTAACTAGTTTATGTAAATAGTTATTTTTGCTTGTCCTTCATTTCTTGTATTAACTCAGCTTTTCAACAGGTCTTTCAACAAGATTGACAGTGAAACAGTTAAGTCGTATTTATTAAAGAACAGTCAAGGATTCTTGAGAGAGAAAAAATTCAAATGGACACGTATATTCTACTTTTCTTTCCACTCTGTCCATGTAATGCAACTTTATGGGTTGTTGTGCTTGTAAACATAGCCTAATATCTTACTATGGAATATATTGTCATTGCTCAAAGCATCTTTTGAACGAAGAGGAAAGAATACATAGAAGCCAAATCTAAATCCCTATTTCCTTCCGCATATTTCTCTGTAGTACTTACCCACTCTTCTTAGTGTCTTCAAGGTACCTGGCAGTGGTTCTTTTCAATCTGTGTGGTTGGAGGCTAGCTTTCACCAGAAGAGCCTGTGTGCCTGCATCCCTGCTCATCCTTGTGATTGACATGTGGGTTTCAGAGTAGGGGATGTAGTTCTGTTCTTCCATGAAACCAACTCCCTCCCTCTAGTTTGGAAATTAGAAACCAAACATGAACTTGACCATCCATTGTTTTTCACAGAATCTGTGGCTCAATTAGAACAACTCCTGTCAGTTTGTTCAACCAGTATTAATGATCCCATTTCTTTTCCTATCACTTAAAAAGTTTTATTTATATTTAGATGAAACACAGTTTATTCTTCTAATATTGTCCTAATAGTAAATTCCTAATCGATGTTGGCCATGTCTTCTTTCTGAACTTTGCCATTCTTTGCAGGTACTTAATAAGGTTTTGTTTGTTTGTTCTTCAGAATCAGAGAGTGCAGAGTGGTCCTGGTTGAAGGTAAAGCCCGAGGCTGTGCCTATCCAGCCCCTTACTTGGATGAATATGGAGAAACAGACCCTGGGCTAAAGTAAGATTTTCTTTTCATGGGAAAGTTTTGATCAGTCCTCCTGTATCTTGCTCTTTTATTTTAGTCATACCATTGTATGGGGATGGTAACATTTCTTAAACACAAAGGTTAATAGTAGTTAATAAAATCTAATAGAGATGGCTTTTAAATAGGTTAAAAATTAAAAATATTAATGTGGTACCATCCTAAATGGCTAATTTTCAGTAACTTTGTGCCTTTCCAAAATTTGGAAGTATAATTTTCCTTCATTTTTGAAAAGCATCTTTTTTTTTCTTTTTTTTTGTCGATCGTGGGGCTTGAACTCTGGGCTTGGGCACTATCCCTCAGCTCTTGGGCACTATCCTTCAGCTCTTCAGCTCAAGGCGAGTGCTCTACCACTTGAGCCATAGTGCCACTTACAGTTTACTAGTGGTTTATTGGAGAAGAGAGTCTCACGGAGTTTTCTGCCCGGGCTGCCTTTGAACCACGATCCTCAGATTTCAGCCTCCTGAGTAGCTAGGATTACAGGCATGAGCCACTGGCGCCCGGCTTTGAAAAGCATCTTAACGATTAAATGTCTTATTTTTTTAAGTCAGCCTTTCTTCAGAATCATTTAGAATGTGTGGCACTGATACATGAAAAAAGAACATTCAGTCTCCAGTGAGGGACTTTGTTTCAGAGTAGGTATTTATTGTTCCCATTGCAATATCTGGAGATATATCAGCTTTCCTTCTTTTTGAGCATTAGATTCTGACCTTGTCTGTGTCCTTCCCTGGTAATAGGAACTGGAGTCCTTCTCTTGGCTTATTCTATTGAAGTACGACCACTAACAATGGTCCCAAAAGATTAAGAAGCCAAGCATGGTAGTATACACCTGTTACACCAGTACTCCAGATACTGAAGCAGGAGAATAATGAGTTCAAGGCCAATCTGGGTACATAGTGAGACATATTTAAAACATTGCTCAGAATGAATAGGCTCACTAGATGGGGTTGGGATCTATTCAATCATATAGAGATTGGTTTTTATTGTGACAACATTTGACTTGTCTTTAGATTTAGGGAGAAAGATCCTTGGGAGCTAAAAGTAGGTAATAATTATACAACCATCTAAAATACTTGAACACCAATAGTCAAACTTCAGTCATTAGCTACTACACAGTATTACAAACTATGGAACTTACCATTAAAGTGTAATTTTGTGTTTTTTTGTTTTTTTTTTGGTCCAGTTGCGGGGCCTGAACTCTGGGCCTGGGTGCTGTCCCTAAGCTCTTCAGCTCAAGGCTAGTGCTATACCATTTGAGCCACAGTGCCACTTCTGGTTTTTGGTTTTTTTTGCTTATGTGGTGCTGAGGAGTCGAACCCAGGGCCTCATGCATGCAAGGCAAGTGCTCTACCACTGAGCCACCTTCCCAGCCCAGTATAATTGTTTTATTTAAATACTTATTAAGCCAGGTACAGTGAGACATCCATATTCACAGACTACTCTGATCACTTGTCCTTAGGGGTTTGAAGCCAGCCTGGGCAGAATAGGAAAAACCCCATTTCAAAAAATAGATAAGGAAAAAATGTGTTATGCAACTAGTAAGTCCATTGTATTCTAAGGACCAAATATTTCTGAGTTGTAAAATAGTTACGGGTAAGTGTTATGCCTGAGACCTAACTTCTATACAAAGACTATAAAGTTGAGGCTGTATAAATTGTTGGAGACCAGAAAGCCATTCAGGCTAACCACTCAGAAAAGAATACAACCCCACTTCAGGTTATAAACCTCACTGGCCATTGAAATGAGGTGTATATGTCTGTGGTGTGCTCAGCCCCATTTCCTGAATTGTCAAGGAGTAAACTTCTGCTTCATTAAGTCATTTATTGAGTTTTTTGTGGATAATGGTAAAGAGACACTTTTTAACCCCTCTCCCAGTGATTCCTCACAACTCCAGGAACATCTCAAGTGTGCATACTAAGTTAGTCAATAAAGATGTAACCATTATTTGATTCAAACTGACATGTTGGATTTTTCCCCCCCAAAGGAGGGGCAATCCCCTTCATTTATCTCGTGAGCGATATCGGAAGCTCCATCTGGTCTGGCAGCAACACTGCATTATAGAAGAGATTGCCAGGAGTCAGGAAACGAACCAGATGTTATTTGGATTCAACTGGCAGTTGCTGTGAGCGCCAACTCTGCCTCAAGACAATCACGAATGACAACAGTAATAAAGACAGATTTTAAATTATGGAGAACTTTCTGAGGGCTGGGGAATTATTGGAGGGTCTTTTGCTCCATGTCCAGATTCACGTACGTCAATAAAATATTCCTTAATGGAGTATCACTTTCAATTAGCAAACATATATTTCAAGGGAAAAAAGGACAGATTAATGTTTAATGTTCTAGAACACTAAAGAAATAAGTTTTCACCCCAAGCTAATATTTCCAAAAAAAATGATTCTCCTTAATCTGTCCTAATATATTTCATTCCATCCACCTGATAAATGAAGTCACAGCTAAGAATTGTGGACATTTTATATGTTGGTTAACTCAACACAATTTTGTATTTGGTATTTTCCTGAGCATAGTTCAGCTAGCATTGGATCACTGATGATTCTGATGTTATGGTCTTCTTTGCAGCTAAAGGGGAATTGCAGAAACCATGAAATACTTTTCAATTTTGAAAGATGCATAAAAGTAAACGTAATTCACTTTGAAGGAAATATCTGTAAAGCATCACCTACTGCTTTAGCCAGAAATTGATCTAAATATCTTTATGGAAAGATTGTTAATTCTGTGGTGTGAGAGTTTTTTTCCCACTGTGGACCTCAAAAAATAAGAACATATTCATCTTTCATTCCTGATGGCACAAAGACTATATAATCCTCCCCTGTATCTACAAATGACTTTGTTGAGTTTCAAGTTGTATTTTCAATTTCTAAAAGCAAGTATCTAAAGTGAGATCTCTGACTTTCAGAAACCTGTAGCCATTCTGATATGAACTACTTATAGAATAAGAAATTTTCCCCAAATTTTCCCCAATTAGTAGAACATAACTGTAAATTGTATGACGCCAATTCTGCAACCTTCTATGTCTTTGTGTAAACTTTTCATAAACTCCAATTTTATGACTACTATAAACCACCAAAAAAGCCATGTGATCAGTAGTCTATGTCCAGTTACCTTGCTGTGGTTGAGCCATTTTGTTTATAAATAGTAGTGCTCTCCTGAGTCTATGACTTCTTGGTTCTTGATTTTGACTTTTTGTATCAAGACACGTGTCATAAAATAGCAGACAAAAGGAAAACTGGACCCCTCCTTTTTAGCTTCCAATGTCTTGGGTAATGTTAAAAGAGTTTGAAAGATACAAAGATTGCCCCTTTCTTTGTCCTTCGCTGCTATTGTCACATATATGTGTATATGTTTTCCTACCCACTTGTATTCAGCAAAGTCAAGCAAGTATCAATGTCTAACTAAGTGATCAGTGATGTACATTTGGGGCTAGATTGTTTTGTTTTATGTGAAAAGTAAGGGATTGGCATAAGCAGACATCAGAATCACAATTATGGTTTTCTACTTGGATAATTATGACTCAAAGGCAAGAATCAGGAAACAGATACAACTCAAGTGAACAACTTGTAAGGAGATTAACAAGTGATAATCAGAAATTGTCACATTTCGGGTGGGAATGTGGCTTAGTGGTAGAGTGCTTGCCTAGCATGCATGAAGCCCTGGGTTCGATTCCTCAGTAACATATAAACAGAAAAAGCCAGAAGTGGTGCTGTGGCTCCAGTGGTAGAGTACTAGCCTTGAGCAAAAGAAGCTCAGGGACAGTGCCCAGGCCCTGAGTTCAAGCCCCAGGACTGGCAAAAAAAAAAAGTCACATTTGCCATTATGATTAAATAATTTGACTATTTCCCTTTCTTATATAATGCATATGGATTTTTTTGAAGTCTGGGTTATAGCAGGCAACAGAAATCTACCCTAATTAACCAGCCTTCCTTTGGCAAGGATTAGCTGATTTTCTCTGTAATGTTTTTATGGTCAACACATTAATCTGTAAAGTTGCCAGAAGGGCTGTCTGGCATGGCTAGCCAACCTTTACTGCCAAAGAACCCATTTCCTAGTGAGTTCTGCTTGTTGAGATTGTAATTTCTGCACTGTAACCGAATGAATTCCTCAGTGCTACCCTCAGCCCTACAGAGTTCTAATTATATTCAGATGTCCTAATAGTTTCCCTTCATCATTGCAAATAATTTAATTTTTGTCTATGAAGTTTACTTACAAACAAGCAACCAAGTCACTTTATTTTCTTCAGTACGTGAAGGAACTGGTTCAGCAGAATGTCTCCATAGCTGTGCTTTTTTAATGTTTGGTGAGGGGCTGGCAAGAATTTTAATGACCCAGTAAAGAAAAAAATATCTATATAACTAATTTATTATGTTGGTGTATTGGCTGTGAGTTTACCTTTAGTGGTCGTTTGTCATTTCATAACAACTATGCATTTTGGTTCACTGTGATGATGATTGATATTTAGTGACTGCAACACGTTTATACCACTGATTCAAATTCCATTCATGATGAAGTTATACAAATGATGCATATATTGATATCTTTTATTGCAAAAATGTAAATTTAAAACTTGTATAATGTTCTTGTGCTTTTTGAAATAAAATATCTTATATGTGTATATTTAAAAAGATAAAAAGGGACTTCTCATGTTTGGGGATTTGGGTTTGAAGTATAAAAATCTGTATCTAGAAAAAAGCTTTCTAGTTAATTATTTTTGTCAACATAGCACATCTTTTAAATGCCAGAGATTTTTAGGGTAAGTGTATCTCTAAACTTCATGACCTTAAATTTCATCAGTAAATTATTTTTGAGCATGAATACCAAATGTATGGATATATACATATACACATGTATATGTATATATATATATATATATGTATAGTTTTTATTTTCATGTAGTGCTATATTCACACATTGAGTACATTTTAAAACATAGGCTGAAACAGACGGTCAAAGATCACCAGTCAGATTTAACTCAAGTTTAACCCAGCATATACTAGAATCATGCTCTCTAACATGAAAGATAAAAGATTCTTAAGGCTGGAAGAGAAAAGAAACTACACATAGGAGTGTCATAATTAGCTTGACAGCGCACTTCCCAGCAGAAGCCTTATAAACCAAGAAAAATTGGCATGAGATTTTTCACAGAACCGAAGAAGCTAATTTTTCATGAATACTGTATCTAGCAGAGCTAGCCTTTAGAAATAAAAAAGGAGAGAAAATGAAGGAGAAAGAAATTCCCTAACAAACAAAAGCTAGCAGAACTTATCTGCACCAGACCTATCCTATAAGAAATACTAGAGGGGCTGGGAAAGTGGCTCAGTGGTAGAGCGTTTGCGTTGCATGTCTGAGGCCCTGGATTTGATTCCTCAGCACCACATAGGCAGAAAAAGACACAAGTGGCGCTGTGGCTTAAGTGGTAGAGCTCTAGTCTTTTTTTTTTTTTTTTTTGTCGGTCGTGGGGCTTGAACTCTGGGCCTGGGCGCTGTCCCTCAGCTCTTCAGCTCAAGGCGAACGCTCTACCACTTGAGCTACAGTGCCACTTCCGGTTTTCTGGTGGTTTATTGGAGATAGGAGTCTCACGGTCTCTCCTGCCCGGGCTGGCTTTGAACCGCGATCCTCAGATCTCAGCCTCCTGAGTAGCTAGGATTACAGGCGTGAGCCACCAGCGCCCGGCAGAGCTGTAGTCTTGAGCTGTAGAGCTGAGGGACAGTGCCCAGGCCCAGAGTTCAGGCCCCACAACTGACCAAATAAAAGAAAAAAAAATGCTAAGGAGTGTTGTCAAACAGAAAGACATTATTAGCAAATGAGCTATCTGTTCAGGGTAGACCACTTGCCTAACATGCACAAGATCCTGGATTTAGTTCCAAGCACCAAAGAGGACAATGGGAGAGTGAAAGGAAAGGAAGAGAAAAAAGTGTTAATAATTAGGAAGAAAACAAGCCCCAGTGGCTCCTACCCATAATCCTAGCTACTCAGAAAGCTGAGAGCTAAGGATTGAGGTTTGAAGCCAGCTTGGACAGGAAAGTGTGAGACCTCTCCAATTCACTACTAAAAAAGCGAGAAGTAGAGCTGTGGTTTATTGGTTGAGCACCATTCCTGTGAAAAAGCTGAAAGAAGATCGCCTGAAGGAAACACATCAGAGGTGTGAAACTCGCTGGGGTAAGAGGAACTATACAAATTCAGAATATTCCACTATATTGTAAATATGTTGCATTAACCATTCTTTATTATAAGATTAGAAAATAAATACAAAAATAAAAGTAATCACTATAGTGCTGGCACCGGTGGCTCACGCCTGTAGTCCTAGCTACTCAGGAGGCTGAGATCTGAGGATCATGGTTCAGAGCCACCCCAGGCAGGAAAAGTCCATGACATTTCATCTCCAGTTAACCACCAGAAAACTGGAAGTGGTGCTGTAGCTCAAGTGGTAGAGCGCTAGCCTTGAGCTGAAGAGCTCAGGGACAACACCCACACCCAGAGTTCAAGCCCCGTGACCAACAAAAAATCACCGTAAGCCAGGCGCAGTAGTAGGTGCCTGGCAGTCCCGACTACTCAGGAGGCTGAAGCAGGGTGATGATTGCTTAAGGCCAGTTTGAGCAACATGAGACCCATAAGCAATGTAAGATGATGTAAAATGGAGCTTTAAGAATTCAAAGTGCTGGGCGCCGGTGGCTCATGCATGTAATCCTAACTACTCAGGAGGCTGAGATCTGAGGATCATGGTTCAAAGCCAGCCCAGGCGGGAAAGTCCGTGAAACTTTATTTCCAATAAACCATTAGAACACCGGAAGTGGTGCTGTGGCTCAAGTGGTAGAACGCTCACCTTGAGCTGAAGAGTGCAGGGATAGCGCCCAAGCCCAGAGTTCAAGCCCCACAACCGACCAGAAAAAGAAAAAAAGAATTCAACGTGTGCTGGGTGCAGATGGCTCACGGCTGTAATCCTACTTAGGAGGCTGAGACCTGAAGATCTCAGTTCAAAGCCAGCCCCACCAGGAAAGTCCGTGAGACTCTGATCTCCAATTAACCACCACAAAAACTGGTAGAGTACTTGCCTTGAGCTGAAGAGCTGAGGGACAGTGCCCAGAACCAGAGTTAAAGCCCCACAACCGACCCCCCCCCCAAAAAAAAAAAAAATGTGCGGAGGAATGGAGGATAAATGTCAGGTTTTTTGTTTTGTTTTGGTCATGGGGCTTGAACTCGGCCTGAGCACCGTCCCTGAGCTGTTTGGTTCAAGGCTAGTGCTCTATTACTTTGAGCCACAGCTCTACTTTTGGTTTTCTGGTGGTTATTTGGAGATAAAGAGTCTTGTGGACTTTCTGCCCAGCCTGGCTTTGAATTGTTATCCTCATATCTCAGCCTCCTAACTAAGTAGCTAGGATTATAGGGATGAGCCTTCAGTGCCCGGCTTAAATGTTCAGTTTTTAGAATATTTTCTTTCTTTTTTTAGGGGGGAGGGGGGTGGTTCGGTTGTGGGGCCTGAACTCTGGGCCTGGGCGCTGTCCCTCAGCTCTTCAGCTCAAGGCTAGCGCTCTACCACTTGAGCCACAGCACCACTTCTGGCTTTTTCCTTTTTGCTTATGTGGTGCTGAGAAATCGAACCCAGGGCCTCCCTCATGCATGCAAGGCAAGCGCTCTACCACTGAGCCACCTTCCCAACACTAGAATATTTTCTCTTCTTTTTTTTTTGTTGGTCGTGGAACTTGAACTCTGGGCCGGGGCATTGTCTCTTAGCTCTTCAGCTCAAGGCAAGCACTCTACCACTAAGCCACAGCACCACTTCGTTTTCTGGTGGTTAATTGGTGGTTAAGAGTCTCATGCACTTTTGTGCCTGGGCTGGCTCTGAACCATGATCTTCAGATCTCAGCCTCCTGAGCAGCTAGGATTACAGGCGTGAGCCACTGGCGCCCGGCTTCCTTTTGTTCTAGTTGCTATTATTTAAAAGTAGCTTTTATAATCAACAGATGTTTTCTGGAACTTACTGTAACCACTAATGAAAAATCTATAATCTAAATTTTTGTTTTTTGTGTTTTTTGTTGTTGTTGGTTGTGGACCCTGAATTCTGGGGCCTGGGCGCTGTCCCTCAGCTCTTCAGCTCAAGGCTAGCACTCTACCATTTGAACCACAGTGCCCACTTCCAGCTTTTTCTGCTTATATGGTGCTGAGGAATCAAACCCAGGGCCTCATGCATGCTAAGCAAGCACTCTACCTCTGAGCCACCTTTCCAGCCCTATAATCAAAATTTATAATAGACAGGATGGGAGTGTGTCACAAGTGGTAGTGTATATCTAGCAATCAAACAAAAGGACCAGAGTTCAAACCTTAGTGTTGCCATAAAAGAAATCTATAATAAGAAACCAAAAGAAGAAATCAAAATACTCCTAAAGTAAATCATTACTGATTAGTAAAAAGGAATGAATTATCACAGCTTGATGAACCTCAGAAATATGCTAAGTGGAAAAAAAAATCTCTAAAAGATACGTACTATGCAATTCTATTCATGTAATAGATGGGAAATATATCACAAAACTAGTCAATAATTATAGCTGTCTGTGGTTATAGGGTAAGATATACAGGGGGAAGTCTTATACTGGCACAGCTCAGTCTTAATTGTGATTATACAAGGCTACATATGTGACAAATTACAGTTCTACAAACAAAATGAGGGTATTCTATGTATATTTAT